GTTAGCTAACTGTAGTGAGGTAGAAAGGCAAGGGAAAGCAAACAAGTCAACTATAGCTACCCACGACATCTCAAGGAAGAAGAAGAAGAGCTGCCTGGGTGGGATTCGAACCCACAACCCTCTGCTTTCTACGAGGTGAGCGCTCCACAAACTGAGCTAGGGCAGCTGGTAGGGGCTCGAATCTACAACACAAGGGCCAACCTCACACGACTGTGGCACAGTATAGCTACTCTGACTCAGTAGCTATGTAGGAGCACTGAATTATACCACCAAAGACGCCCAACTCCAAACTGAGTATCATGCATGTGTGATGTGTCAACTACTAGGTAGAAAGGCAAGGCGAAGCAAACACGTGGCTGCTGATCAGGGGTTATTTTAGCTGGCGTAGCCCTTCCGCCTGCGTGAAATATAGGCATGCAGGCTACGCCAAACTGGCGTATGACAGGAAGACAATTAATACAGAGGCTGAGAGGGGGGGGGACGCATGAGCGCTCAATAAAAGCTTGATGTCCTAACTTGATATCTGTCTCGCTCCGGCCTAATTCTGTGCGTCGACGGTTAGCCGGTTGCGTAACTACTGATCTGATTGCATATCCTTGTGACTACACCACGTGATGATTTGATTATCACCTCCTGTGGCGCGCGGAGAACACGAGGTTACTCGGAAAGAAGAAACCACCAGCAGAGAACGTTGTATTTAGACTACGGTGACACGCAATTGACCAATCGGATTCCTAGCTTAGAGGTAGTTACGTACCTCTTCCGCGGTAACTATTTCGCAGCCCTGCGGCACTTTTCTTACGCGTTTTGGCCATGGCAACCACGCCTTCAATTCGAGAGACGCCGTGCGAGCGGAAGGCAAACGGAGCTTCTGGAGAGGTTCTTTCTAAAAAAAACCGGTCTTCTAGTAAGAAACGGTGCATGACTATAATTATACAGGGCCCTAGCTACAGCTCGAACCAGACGCGCACGCTAGCGGTGCGAGAATCGCCCAGCGGCCCCGCCAACTTTCGCGGTCGCGCGCATCCCCGAGCGAAAATCACGCATGCGCACACGTCACACACGCACCAACGACCCGGGGAGTGACCGATATAATTAACCCTCGGCGCGTATGCGCAGCGAGGGTTACAGTACTTGGGTCTGTGTGTCTGTCTGTGTGTCTGTCTGTGTGTCTGTCTGTTACTCGTTCGTCTCACAAAGGATACCACCTACTGAACGGGCAATGAAGGTCAGAAATTTTGAACAGTTTTCCCTGAAAACGCTCCGTTGCGAAGCTAGAGCGCGAAAAAGCCAATATGCAAATACACAGCGGACGGGATGGCTTACCGGGGTCTGATCAATCCGCGTGCTTTGCGTACCTCGGAGGCACCAGAAGATGCAACGCAGGGCGTGTATCGCCTCTCCCATGCTATCTAATATTGTAGTTAGCCCGCGTCAGACTCTGCGCGAGCTGGCAAGAGACTGCGAGTAACAGCTAAAACTAAACCCAGCCCACCAATTAGTGGTACGGCGCATGCGTTTACTTACGCGTGCGCGTAACAGTGCGCCGAGGGTTTGCACTTCAGTGCTTTTCATTATTAATCACATATATATCTAATTAAATGAGTTGTCCAATTCAAAGCGTTCTGTCCAATGGTTCTGCCCAATCGGTCTTCTAGCAGTAAAACGCACCAATGGCATCCAGAAGATTTCCTGCGCGACCGAAAAATCCAACAATATTTCCGGTGACCTCATACTTCGTTTCTCCTGTTTTTCCAAAAGGACCATAAGTGGCAGTAGTGCCATTACGTTTTCTGGTGGTGAAAGTCACCTGATCCACTAGGACATTGTTGGTTTTGCCCGTCATTGCTATGATGAATTCACCGTCCTCGAACTCCACCACCGTAGGTCGTCCTCCAGTACCGCCGTGGTTGGAGCCGTCCAACACTCCTCCTCCTAGCAGCTGGTAGTCTGCATCGATGCTGTCGACTTGGTTACCGTGGCGAATCCTCATTCGCTTGACGTTGACAACAGGCGGAATGTTGACGTCAACCGGATCAGCGAAAGCCTTTCCACCAGTTCCGCCGTATGTGGGACTTTTTGTCAGTGGAGGAAGATAATACGCTCCCAGAGCATCCAAAAGATTTCCGGCACGACCGAAAAATCCTACAATGTAACCCTCCACTTTGAACTGCGTTTGTCCGGTTTGGCCAAAAGGACCGTACGTTTTTTCCTCACCAGCATCGTTTTGTGTGACAAAAGTCACCTGATCAACGAGAACGTTGTTAGTTTTACCTTCCATTCGAACAATCCTTTCGTTTTTGGCAAGTGTGAAGGAGCTCAAAGAGCCTCCGGTACCGCCGTGGGCCGGAGCGGTGTACGTGCTTCCGTCCGCCAAGCGATACGTAACCTGCAACCTGTCGACCTGGTTCCCGTGACGGATGTCGATTTTCTTGACTCCAACAATGGCAGGAGAGTGCGAGAGAATGTTGTCATCCCAAGCAGATCCTCCGGTCCCACCAAGGACTGCGCTCCGGGTTACGCTCCTTGCCATAATAATGATATCCTGTGTCCGATGATTCCTTAGTTTTCGCTTTGTTGGAGCTGTTTGTCACCGTGTTCCTTTTATACTGCAGCCCTGTCGCTGTGGTAAAGGGGGGCGGAAGATAATAGCTGTCCGGCCGGCCGGGCGGCGCGCCGCGTCTACAGACAGCGCGCGCGGATCCGCGGATTCCTTGTAACGACAAGTTTGTTTCTTCGAAACTTATTGAGCAAAGAACCTCAATAAACATAGCTCATTTCTGTGGATTAGCTATGCCATAACGCCCACCGTGTTCCCAAATAACCTCTCAGGCCGGCCGGCCCCGGCACCTACTCGACGGACAGGCTAGGGTGTGGATTATTTGGGAACACGGTGGTCGTTATGGCAACGTACCACGCGCACTTGCACCAGGAGCCGAGAGCTGCAGTTTGCAATCATCCCGGGTAACCTACTGCCAAATGGCGTCTATCGTCCGGGAAAGAGTGATAGCAAGATTGCACCAGAGGCAGGTAGGAAATGCATCCAGGAGTAGTGGCTTGCAGATATGTAGGCAGATGTCTTGTAAGACACACGAGAAATGTCACCTGAAATCTCGCCTCCTCTTGCGAATTGTTTTGTACATGTAAATGGCTTTGGTTTCTTTCTCCGTCTGCATCAGGTGGAGGAGACGGAGAGAAGAGCCAGGGACCAGATTCTTACCACCAGATTCGACGAGCCCCTCCCCCTCTCCCCGTCTCCCACCCCCTCCACATCCTCCCACCCTCACAACCCCACTCAACAACCCTCACGAGAAGGGCGTGGCACCTCTCTGAGGTGGAGACTGTTGTCACGGCGACTCCCCGAGGCTGTTGAGAGGGTCAGTGAACCAATGAGTGTGTTCAGGCCCTGTCAAGTACAGTAAGGGACACTATGAATATCAATAAAGGACACAGTTTGAATCTTTGTATCCATATGTATTAGTAGAACCTCTGACAACGGACACTTGGCACATAGGAAAAAAAACTTCTCAATAAAGGACACACCAAATGCTGAACTTATAGAAGACAACCTCTCTAAATGCCTGGTCCAAACACATCGAAAAATACTTCTCCATAAAGGACACACTTTGAGGTCCCATGTGATGAACTTATAGAAGACAACCTCTCTATAAAGCTGGTGCAAATGATCGGAGGTTCCACTGTGCTTATATACATACATGTTGTGTGTGTGTTTGTTGCGTATACAAAAAAATCTTTGCGATACATTTTCCAGAATGTGGAGGAGCAGTCTTATCAGTTCTTCACTGGAACAGCGGAGGACCTGGAAATGCCTGTCCGTATCACTAGACAGGGAGGGAGGGAAGAGGGAGAAGTGAGAGGAGGAGGTACGGAGGTGGTAGAGGAAGAAGGAGAGAGAGAGGGAGCTGCTAGAGATGACGAGAGGGAAGGAGAAGGAGACGGTACGGAAGAAGATGAGGATGTGGTGGAGGGAGAAAGTGGCGATGCTGTGCATTCTTCTGGACCAGACCTAGAGGTGCCCATACGTTATAATATTGCTTATTCCTCTGATGTAGACACCACTTAAGGAGAAGTAGACATTCGTTCCCATAAGGAGCAGATAGTACTCCCAGTAGTGAACAAATGTATTACTCCAAAAGTTTAGCAGTTTTATGCAGTCTTCTGGACCAGACCGAGAGGTGCCCATACTCTGATGTGATGTACATAAGCATTTCATTTCCATAAGGAGCAGATAGTACTCCCAGTAGTGAACAAATGCAATGCAAGTATTACTGCAAAAGTTTAGCAGTTTTATGCAGTCTTCTGGACCAGACCGAGAGGTGCCCATACTCTGATGTAGACACCACTTAAGGAGAAGCGTAAGCGTTTCATTCCCATAAGGAGCAGATAGTAGTGAGCAGCTCCCAGTAGTGAACAAATGCAATGCAAGTATGTATTACTGCAAAATTTTATGCATTACTGTGTTTGCCTGGAAATAATAATTATGTTGCCATTTTTGTGGTTAGAATCAAAAATAGAGATTTTTGGAGGTCAAAATGGAAAGGAGTCCCTGGTGGCTAATTCAGCAGTCCAGCTATGCTAATTGTGCCAGTGATTTTTGCACATTGTAATAGGAACCAACAGAAGAGGGAACTGAACCAGCAGAAGAGGGAACTGAGGAGTCTCCCGATGAGAGCAGCCAGCAAGTCCCAGAAACTGACACCGAGGACTCTGCCTTACTCAGAGGCCGTGGAGCCTCACGTCAGTTGCTTCGCCCGCCGACCACGATTTACGTCCCTCACCGAGTCCGACTGGAGAGAGAAGACGGTGTCTACTTCACTCCGTCGTCTGGCCCCCCGGGGACCGCCGTGGAGGAAAGGACTCCGTCGGGGATGCCCCCTCGTTTCTGTGAAGACGAGGGCCTGTACGTGGGGCGCAGACCGAGATTGAAGTGGACCAACCGTATCATAGTCGAGAATAGACTGCTGCATAGATACGACAAGGTGAAGGACCACTTGCATTCCTTCATCTGCACGTTCAGCTTGTTAGTTGTGCAAGTGGTCAAGAAGTAGAATGTAACCTCTACCACAGCAGGGGTTTAGCTGAACCAGGGCGTGATGGGGGGTTCACCATTGCACAGGACTATAGATAAGAATTTACTCTCTCCATGGCGCCTACTACTGTATGTTAGGTTCCTACGTACATAGTTTGGTGTTTGTATAATTATGCAACTTTACTCTGTCATTGTCTGCCATGTCTTTATCTTCTTAGTTCTACCTTCCCTTCCTTCCTTCCCTCCCTTCCTCTCTCCCACCCTCTCCTCTCAGGGCAGGGGTTTGTTTGGAGAAGACGGTGTTGTGCTGGCTCTACCTGATCCACTCCAGGAGTCACCTCTCAGACCTCCCATCCTGGCCCATGACCCCACCAGACACATCTCTTGCTCACCCCACCATGTCAGTACACTGTATAGTAGCGAGTGAACAGTGCACTAGTGCACATGAGGTACATTAACAAATAAACTTTGAACTATCCTACACAGGCTAAACAGAAAAGAGCCACCAACAGGAAGATGATTCCACAAGGTGAAATTGTATGTGGTGTGTGGAGTTTGTTGTGCCTATATGCTTCATAATTATTGTACATGTGTAGGTAACTGCATACTGGTTTTTTTTAAACCCACAATGGAACCTCGTTAATATGAACACTGTTGAAGCGAAATACCTTGCTAATATGAACCTCTTTGAAATCCCCTTGTATTATAGAAGTACAATACGACTAGCAACTGTTATAGTGAAATTCCTGTTAATATGAACAATTTTGATGGTCCCCTGGAGTTCATATTAACGAGGTTCCACTGCACTTGGGTTTGCAGGTTCAGGAAGCTATCAGCTGGATTTAACCCTGTCCTCGCTGCATTTCTCCCACCACCCTCTGTTCTCGCTGGAGCATGTGATGTGTGCCGGTCTCAGTAGAAGCTGCGATGACTACCACTTGCTCATGGACCACACCACCTCAGACTACCTCCTCCAAAAGGTGGCCTGTACAACTCCCACTTGCCACACTGCCGGACGCTTTCGCTGGAAAAAAACTTTGTGCAAAATTCAATTGAGAAAACCTTGCACATTGCTTTCCCACTCACCGCACAGCCAGAAGCTTTAATTAAAGGTGTAAGAACTAAAATTTGACGGACAAAAGCATTTGCACATTCCTTTATAATTTTTTCCTACTTTCCGTAGCTGAAAGCTTACGCTGGAAAAAAAAAAAAATTCATTTTAATGCATTGCGTTTGCCACAGCCACAAACATTGTAGGAGAAACTTTTGCATGTGGGACTTAGACAGTGACAGTAGTTTACAATAATCCTTGTGCGATCTTAGCACACAAAAGCCGCTCACTTTGATGTACATGATGAACATTATAGAATTACATTTTCATGCAACAAAGTCTCGAACCTTTTCTTAGATCAGTCTTATATTATATGTAACAAGTCAAATTAGTGTTTAGGTTTGTGTTAAACCAACCGTGTTTGTGCCCACACACACACACACACACACACCACTCTCTTGCTGCAGCTCTATGCCTTGAAGACTGCATCAGTGGATCTGCAACAGTCACTGGAACACTTGGTAAAAAAATCACGATCACGAAGCCTCGTTTCTGGGTCCCAACATACACCTGTGCATAATGTCTATATATACATACTTTCCTTTTACGATGACTGCTAAAGTACGTTCGCGCTGAGAATGCATGCGAAGTAGATAATGAGGAGGGCGGTACTATTCGCCCGTAGAAATATATGGGAAAAGTATGCCGTAGAAATGTACGTATGGGGTTATGCATAACGTGTGTAGCGAGAAAAAAACTACGCAGCGGATTTGAACGAGGTAAGCGCTGAACGAACCGGAGTGTGAAGCGCTGCATTTTGCATGGCCGCATACAGTGCTGGAATCGGAAGTTATTCTAGATTTTCAAGGTGCATTCTCAGCGCGATTGTACTATGTACATAGGTAAGTACACACTACTTGCCTTGGTACATAATTAGCTAAAAATTATAATCAGAACTTGAACAGTTGCATATATATTATGCATGTGGCTTGCTAAGGGCTAACCCTAGTGTTTCAATTCATGGCTTGCTAAGGGATATATAACCCTAGTGTTTCATATACACATAATATATGCACGTGGCTTGCTAAGGGCTAACCCTCAGTGTTTGAATTCATGTGTCCGATCTTTGATGAGTTACTCTATTAGGCTGCTCTCCTGCAAAGGCAATTATCAGCAAGAGGAATTTTTGTGCCACTAAACTTTGCAACAAAAACTGAAGCTTCCTTCATGCCTAGAGTGAACTTTTATACCAAAGCCATCTCAAGAGTACACCAAGTCAGATTGTATGGTCCTCAACCTATGTCGCTTTGTTGCCAAGGCTTTGACTGGAGAGTTCGCCTTGTTCCATGCCAAACGGAAATCACCACTACCAAATGAATACTGTTTCAATTCGTGTAAAATTATGATCAGAACTTGAACAGTGCTCATACACCACACAGTATGCACTCTGTCGCTCTATATATGTAAACATTATGGACTATATACACTATAATTGTGAATGCTGATGTGTGCAGGATGGTGGGAGCTCAGAGGAGGTGGAGGCCCGGCTAAACCTGAGGAGGTACACTCGAGAGGTGAGGAGCCTGAGGAGGCAGTGGAGGGAGAGAGAGGCCTCCAAACACAGACTTCTCCTCTCCATTCTCAGGTCAGCCACTAGCCAAGGTTCTGAGGTCAGCCACTACCATTAGCTACTAATGGCCAGCCACTACCATTAGCTATGTACTAATGGTCAGCCACTACATTAGCAGCCACCATGCTACTGTTTATACTAATAGGGTGGTTGAGGGATTGAGACTTTCTCCCTAACTTAAACCCATCTTTAATGCTCTAGCTACATACATAGTATACCACAGTACACAGTGTCATTAGTTCTGGTCCCACCTTATATAGGGCAGCCCTTTTTTCTCTGAAAATAGTGTGGTCTGTAAGTGTATATGTTATGCACTTGTCTTGTCTTTACTCTCACCTGATTCACAACTCCTTGAACCCTTGGAGTGTTGATAGTGATGCTAATGCACACTTCAAAGGGTACCTGGTAAATGTCTGTGAGGGAGAATAGTATATGTTAAGCACTTGCCTTGTGTTTACAGTCACCTGATTCACAACTCCTTGAACCCTTAGAGTGTTGATAGTGATGCTAATGCACACTTCAAAGGGTACCTGGTAAATGTCTGTGAGGGAGAATAGTATATGTTAAGCACTTTCCTTGTGTTTACAGTCACTCTGATTCCTAACTCTTGAACCCTTAGAGGTTTATAGTGATGCTAATGCACACTTCAAAGGGTACTCAATAGTAAGGTAGTAAATTAATTATGCTACAATGCATTGTCTGTGAGGGAGAATAGCACTTGCCTTGTCACCTGATTCACAACTCCTTGAACCCTTGGAGTGTTGATAGTGATGCTAATGCACACTTCAAAGGGTACCTGGTAAATGTCTGTGAGGGAGAATAGTATATGTTAAGCACTTGCCTTGTGTTTACAGTCACCTGATTCACAACTCCTTGAACCCTTGGAGTGTACTGTAGTGATGCTAATGCACACTTCAAAGGGTACTGGTAAATAGTCTGTGAGTGATGAATAGTATACTTCAAAGCACTGCCTTGTTTACTAGTGATGCTTATCACACTCAAATGTACCCTTGGAGTAAGTGATAGTGATGCTAATGCACACTTCAAAGGGTACTCAATAGTAAGGTAGTAAATTAATTATGCTACAATGCATTGTCTGTGAGGGAGAATAGCACTTGCCTTGTCACCTGATTCACAACTCCTTGAACCCTTGGAGTGTACGATAGTGATGCTAATGCACACTTCAAAGGGTACCTGGTAAATGTCTGTGAGGGAGAATAGTATATGTTAAGCACTTGCCTTGTGTTTACAGTCACCTGATTCACAACTTAATGATGCTAATTGTACACTCTTCCTGCACTCTGTCAATGAGGAAATACTAGGAACAACAGGTAGCACTAATGTTGTGTGTGTTGTATGCAGGATGTGGGGTTTGCTGAAGAGTGTTAGGGACAGACAGGGCTACTCCTCAACCTCTCTCTCCATCACCTTCAGACGGTACTCTTACTAATTTAAAAAAAAGCTTTACTAGCATTATTGATAATACGCACAAACAAATTGAACTGCTACTGAATAAAAATAATGTGAAGGTACAATTTACTGCATGTGTAGTATTGAAATACATGAAAATCTCAAATGTATGGGCATAATGCAGGACAACCCTATATACTAAGTACTACCGTAGCTCAGAGGAATTCAATATGGCATGAGAAGCACATGCCCAATGCGATGACTCTACCAATTTGAGCATGGAAAGCAGTTTATTTGCTGGCATTTTCTCACTCAGAAATGCGCATTGCTGTTGTTTTTCGCTGGTTGTGTGCTGTCGTGTTGCAGCAACAAAGCAGACAGACTTTGGCAGCTTCATTTGCATGCATTTGCTGCTTTTACTATTGAGGCATTTGCTCAACCCAAAATACAGTGCTATTCTATTGAAACTCACATTTCAGGCAAGCAGTGGACGGGGAAGAGGAGATGGGTCTGAGAGAGAGGGAGATAGGGGAGGAGGTAGAGGAGGAGAGAGAGTGGTACCATATGGAGGAGCTGCCGCAGAGAGAGACGGTGTATCAGACACAGTTGGCCCAGTGGAGGAGGGCCCTCAAGAAGATGAGGGTGAGAGGGGTAGTAGAGGGAGGGGAGGGCAATGGGGATTTTGGTCGTGCCCTGCGCAGGCTCGTAAGACATGTGCATGCAAAGTCTAAGAGTTGGAGGGAAAAAGGCATAAGGGAAGGGGCAGGGGCTTTGAGTGTGAAGTTTTTCCTGATCTGTTGTTTGAATGATTTTTGGGCACTGCCCAAGGCAGTAGTGAGGTGCTTTGCCACTCTCGTGTGTACATAGTTGAAAAGAAAAAGTGCTCTACCTTACCTGAGTTCTATTTTTTGAGGAATGTGTGTGTGTTTAGCGTTAATGGTTCTGTGTTCGTAGAAGCAGCAGAGATCCCGGGAGAGTGAGAATGGCGGTGAGGAGGAGGAAGGAGAGAATGAAGAGGGAGGAAAGAGAGAGGGAGAGGGAGAAGATGAGGAGGAGGAAGAGGAAGAAGGAGGAGAAGAAACTCCGGGATCAGTGGTTGGCTCACACGCCAGTCTAGCCGCAGACTCCGTTATTCCTCAATGTAAGAAACAATATCTGCTGGTGTACGTTTACAGTAGTCATGTTATTACGCAAATTACATAGGATAATTTCCCTTGAATTCTGCGTCAGTAGATTGTGTGTTCAGAGCCTCCATAGGCTTGTAGATAAAATTTTAGAGGTGCAATGCCTTTAAGGAGTCCCATGATAAGTGTTAAGATGAGTCACACAAGACCTGCCCGCGGCGATCCATTTTACTGTATGTGAATTTTTCTAATGTGTAGGTCCGCGTCCGGACCCGCCAGCCCCATTTGACCCAGAGGGGGTCCACCTCTCTCTGGTCCAGTTCTACCAGCAGTTCACCAGAGCTCCCGGTGACCCCATTCTACTGCCACTGGTCCAAGACTCAAACCCTGTCTCCCAGAGCCCCTCTAGGTGAACTACATTACCTACTGTTTTATGCGTATATACCCATCTGTACGTACATCTGGAGTCTGGAGCATTCAGGAAGCTGGCCTATAATACACTACGTTATTATACTGCTACATGCTGAGTGAGAGTACATTGTACATACGTTAACCATAGCACAGTGGTTCACGTTTGTCTTGTGTTGTGTGTCGTAGATTTGAACCCCTTATACAGGCTGAATTTCCCTGATATAGCTCAGCGCTGGTAGAGTGTCATGGGTTCGAATCCACCTCAAGCGGCTCTTTTTTCTTTTAAAAGGGTGTATGTGTGTACATAGTTGTGTTGTTTGGGTTCGAATCCCACCTCAAGCTGCTTTTTTTTCTTTTATTGGTGTTAGTTGTGTTGTTTGGTTTTTCTGACTGTGTGTATATAGAGGTGAGCAGATGAGGAGGGGAGAGGTGTCTCGGGCCAGACTCAAGATTAGAGTCTTCTACAACGACAGACTAGTCTACACTACACAGGAAACGTGTGTATACTACATGTGTGTGTGTGTTGTGTGTGTGTGTCAGTCTATCTACAAGTGTGTGTGGTTTGTGTACACTGTGTGTACACTGTGTGTGTGGGGGGGGAGGCAGTTCAGTGATACTGTCTGCGATGTGTATTAGGTAAGTGGAACAGTATGTAGTTCTTAGCTGTCTGCATACTCCAGTGACATGTCAGTGTACACATGTTGTATATGTGGTCACTGCATCAAAGAGGATCTTGCTGGGCAGGGCACCGGTGATATGGCATGTGTACAGACACTGCCCAAGCCTCGTGTCTCCTACTAGCTACTAAAATTCCCCTGTCTGTGTGCATTAAAAGGTTTATTATTCAAGGGGGAGAAGGCAGTTGACACCTTGGGGCATACTCATCCCTTATTCGGACTTATAATGTATTAGTAAGGGGCAGAACTAAGTTCTTTGTAGGGAGGTGTCGTTTTTTTTTGGAGGGTCTAGTTCTCGTTGGTTTTACTGTAATGTGAAGTGTCTGTGTCCTTCTTTCACTCTCCCACTATTTGCTCTTGTTCCGCAGCTCCATTGGTAGTGACTTTTCCGTCCATTTCGATGAGACATTCCACATTCAGATAGTCCACTGGCCACGCACCATCAAACTTCAGGTACATGTGTATCAGATGTGTGTATATTGTACCTTACACACTTGACCTATTGTATACATGTACGTGATTTGTGTGTGTGTGTGTGTGTGTGTGTGGGTGCTTTGTGAGAACTACGAGAACCAAGATACTGTACATGTACGTATGTATGTACTAGTGGATAGTGGATATGAAAGCAGGGGTGTTACAGTCAATGGTGTACAACACCGCAGTATGTAGCGTCACTCACCTGCGAAATATCCCAGACTCCCCCCTCCTTTTTTAACGACCTTTGGAACGATGCTTTCCGGAGTTGGGCGTATTGGGTGTTACACTACATACACCTACAATACCTATTTATATGTGCATTAATGTGTAGACATACACACATGGTAGACTTCGAAGGTGAAACCTTGTGGAGACGGAACGAATGGTATTGTATGGATCGCTGTGTGAACGGAACAGAACTCTAGTCTTCTTCTGTTAATTGAGGGCGTCTTCTGCTCCGGTAGAAGTAGAGCAGCTATATTATGTACTGTAGCACTCTGCCTAGAGAGCAGCGTTGTGGAACGAACGTTCACCCTTGAAGGAAGCTAGTGCACAACACAAAGAAGAAGAGTGCAAGTTTTATCAAGCCTTGTGCGTTCCTTGAGAGGGTGTCCTACTTGTGTGTGACGAGAGAGTGAAGTGATGGTTGTCTGGACCAGGGCTTGCTACGTGGCAACAGAATGAATGTTCACCCCCTTTGAGTAAGGTTCTGTTCTCTTGCTTGAGAGAGAAGGAGGGTGCGAGCTTTGTTTGCTTCTTGGGAGTATTTTACTTATCATGTAGTGAGAGGGTGAGAGGGTGAGAGGGGGAAGCGATAGTTGTCTAGACAAGGCTTGGAATGTCACTACAAGAAGTGAAAAAATGAACGACTATCACTGGAGGAAGTGTCTGTGAATGATAAAGTGTGGGAAACCTACTTATTCCCTCCTACAACTTTAAATGGCTCATAAACAGTGCAATTTGCAGTGTTTTCTCCCTCACGTTTCTCACTGCAAGTGGTAGTGTGCAGACTGCGGAGATCAATGTCACATAGTACATGTATGTGTCCCGATCCATGGTGATAAGTATTATTGTGGAATGATACATTCTGAAGACTGGAGGTTTACAGAGGGTTTGTTGCAACATCTCCCATCTGTCAAAACCCTTACCCACTGTTCCACCTGTAGTACTGTATCTCTTCTTCCTTGCCCACAACCTCCCTCCTCTCCTCCCTCCCTCCACCTGGGATTACCCTGTCGCCTGACTCGTGCGCCGTGCAGCTGTCATTTCGTCCAAGCATGGGAATTCCCAATGACTGTAGCTACTACGTAACTGACCAGCGAAGCAGCGGTGCACTTGCCATACATGCGGCATGCATACAGCATTAGGTCCCTCCACCCAGGGCAGGGCACCGGACCTTTTAGTAGTAACACAGTGAATGAGACTGTGTGTGTGTGCGGTGTGTGTGTGTGTGTGAGTGTGTGTTGGTGTGTGTGTGTGCTTAGTGAGAACTACGAGAACCAAGACTCTGTACATGTATACTAGTGGATATGAAAGCAGGGATGTTACAGTCAATGGTCCTCAACACCGCAGTATGTAACGTCACTCACCTGCGAAATATCCCAGACCCCCCCTCATTAGGTCCCCCCACCCAGGGCAGGGCAGCAGATCTCTTGGTAGTAACACAGTGAATGAGACTGGGGTGGACCGAGTACGTAACTGTAAACTTGGCGGTTCTCAACACGCATTAGTCGATTGCATCTTTTGATTATATAAAGCAAGGTGCTAGTGTATACGTTATTATGCAATAATACAGGGTGTCAATGCAATACTAAGACAAGTGCATTACAAAGTACTACATAACCGTCTTCTGCTAGAATAGTGAGTATAATACGTATGTACATCAGTTGTGTTTGTTTTTAGTATCGTGAGTCATCCCCAGAGCCATCTTCTGAGTCGTACTGGCTGGTAGCATAGAAATATTCCGAGACCAGTGCCTCCACCTTGTACTGGAGGTAACGACGGTGATATTCGTTTGCTGATTCGTCGCAGCCCGGAACAACAACTGCTTCTGCCCGGTATGGCTCATCACCGTCAATTTCTGGAATGTATAGAGCCAGGTTTACATACATGTACATGAAAACTGAACAGCTCACGCTATATCACTAAGTACGACCGTACTTAGTGATATAGGGATTGGCATGGTACCTAGCATCATAGATGTATGGGGCTAGTACATATGTAGAAAGAAAGAAAGAAAAAGAGAAGAAAACAGGACTTCAGAAGGGCTACAATTAAAACACACATGCAACCGTAAGGGCCACATACATACGTACGTGTTGGTGGAGTCCATGACTCCATGCACAAAGTAACAGGAGTTAATGCAAACACATTTACATACGTATGTGAACGTATGGTACAGCACGTATACTATCTCTACTTAGTCCCTAATGTTTATATGAGCTCCGCAACGTGACCTGCAACATTGCAGGAGAATGTGAAATAATAGTCTGAATGTCGTGAAATATTTCACCAATGTCACACATTGCATCGCACCATGTGCGCACCATGCGACTCTTTTCACAGCAGCAAGAGCACGTTTCAGCCGTGCAGAAATATATACAGATAGAAAAACGTGCGTAAAAAAACATCCCTGCTGGGTGTGTGTTGGTAGCCCGAGTGCCGTACTGAATCCAGGAAAAAAGCACAGGTGTGACGTAATCCACTCATGTGTGACGTAATCCACTCATGTGTGACGTAATCCATTCCGTGTGACTCGGGGCAAATACGGTTCATATACTTCATTTGTCATTTTTGGTACACTTTAACAAATTGCGCCTCTCAAGTGTAGTAGCACTGTGTGTATTATTATGTGTAACTCACCTATACATTCTTGAAGGATTCGCGAATAGTAGTACCCTCTGGAGCAGATGCAGGTGAAACTTCCCTCGGTGTTGCTGCAGTAGGCATACTCAATCTGACAGTACTCTCCAGTTGCACACTCGTCAATATCTGCAGTACATTTCGATATTCACTATATTACTAGTAGGCGAATGCGTGGCATTTTTGGCGAGCGGGAGCGAGCACACAATGACTGTATATCTGCACGAGCCATCCTACAACTTGAACCTTAGAATCACGAAGATTGGAAGGAGGTATAGACAGCCTCAGTCGCAGATATATATATATGAGGAAAATTCCGCGCCTTTCGTATAGGTTAGCTTGCTCCCGCTCGCCAATTATACTACTTGTGTATATACACACATCACGTAGTGAGTATGAAATAACCAGTCAACCACTCCACTTTAAGTATATACGTACATCCCAAGCAGCTACGGTTCTGTACATTCACAACTCTTCCCAAAAAAAAAGCCCAAAAAAAAACCAGCCACCATTCATTTCTCCAAACTTACCCTATGTACGGCTTTAAAACGGGCTTCTGGTTTTTAATCGGTCCCCAACATAATATATATACACCTTACTCTACACCTTACTCTATACCTTATGTGTTTGCAGTATGTCTGCTGACCCTACCATTAAACCTTGATCTATATATCGTATGTCCAGTAACGTGTATTTGAAGAAATGTGTGAATGCGGAATTTTTCTCTTTGTTTTGTGATTCTACACGCGAAAAGTTCATTACTGTTCGCACTCACTCGCCAAGAATGTGAGGCATTTGTTCTAGATGTGTATGTACGTGCAGAACTGACCATAACAGTAGTCTGTGGGATCTCCAGTGTATCCATAGTTACACTGACACACGTACTCGTTCCCATCGTACGACGTGTAGTTGCGGGTGCAGTAGGCGTTGCGTCCACAATCCTCTGAACACAGAGCTGCAGTACATACACATACATTATTATACAGTAGGTATGAGTGTCAGGGGAAGTACTAGCACCAATGAATGGTCTACATGCATGTCTCAACAACTTGGTAACGAGGTAGAAAGGCAAGGCAAGGCAAACAAGTCAACTACACACAGGACAGCTCTTTCTGTGCGTGCACATATTAATATCCTTGTAATTGTACAAGTGGTGCAGACTGTGTGTATCCATATTGGCAGTTACAAGTGTAGCTCCCATTTGCCCCCACACAGTATATAGCCATTCTTACCACAAGGCCGAGCTGGGCAAATGTGCGATTTAGCTATGAGCTACGCTGTTACAGGTGTAGCTCCCATTTGCCTCCACACAGTATGCATTCTTACCACAAGGGTCATTATGTACTATTGATTGAACTCTGAGCTTGGCAAATGTGCGATTTTAGCTACGAGCTACGCAACATTTGAGGGACTGTATTACTAATGTCCCACAGACAGTACTATATCGCCACACATATAAACTGTGTGTGTGCGTAGAAAGAGTTACCTGCACATTAATATTAGAGTATTTTTGTACTGGAAGTTTGTCATAGTTTGTCAATTTGGATTCAAAATTGCAGTTATTTTTACTGACACACGGCCTTACAAGTGCAGACTGTTCCATTTCCAGTGTATGTATATTGACAGTGGCAGGTGTAGCTCCCGTTAATTGTCTCTGAACAGTAGGCATTCTCATCACAAGGGTTATTGTAGCATGGTGGTATAGCTGCCGAAAAAATATCCTAAATTTACCACATCGTACAGAGACATGTTTTATTAAGAAATTGTATAGTACTTTACAGGAAGAATTGACATAGTTTTTTTTCTACGTAACGTATAGTTTTCCCCATGAATTGCCAAAGTTACCCTCTTGTACACATACACTAGCCTCCTTACACTACCTTATCTCTGGTTTATACGTATGGAAACATTGTGTGCAATTAATAGGGCACGAGTACTAATTCCCCTAATTCCGGACTCTACGCAAATTTTAGTCCGCTCACGAACCAATGAGATCGCGCGATTTTAATTACTTAGTACAACTACTTACTTCAAAGTACACATAATGATGCTTACCATAGCAATAGTACCCTCCATAGCCAGTGAAGCCAGGGTCACACTCACACACGTAGCTGCCATTGGTGTTGTAGCAGGTGGCATATTCAGTGCAGTTGACATAGTCACATTCGTCTATATCTGTGACCATGTATATACAGTTGGCTGTAACCACCTGATCGCCTTGTATCTTATGTGTTTACAGTATGTCTACTGACCCTCCCTTTAAACCTTGATCTATATATCGTATGTGCAGTAACAGTATTTAAAGAAATGTGTGACTGCAGGATTTCATTTACATGCTCTAGTATTATATGTGATTCTACACGCGAAAAGTTCATTACTGTTCGCACTCACTCGCTAATAAATATAGGTTAGACGCGGAAGCGAGGTGTCTACGCTACATTGCAACCCGAGGGGCTGTGGAATGTTGGCGTCCCGAGCGCAGCGAGGGCGCTACCCACATGCCCCGAGGGTTGCAATGTTGCGTAGACAACCGAGCTTCCGCGTCTAACCGGTTTAGACCGGAGTATCTGATTGGTGTTTGCGCATTCAAATGGGTAGCAACAAGCTAGCAACGCTGCGCTCATTCCTCATTCCTTACCTTCGGATGGAACAAGACGCTTTTTTTACGTGTGAGACTCCGAGGAGACAGCCCCCGCCCCCGTCCAAAATCGTTTACGTCATCATAAAACGCCCTCATTGGTGGTGCGTGTTTGAAAGGGTTAACGCACGGCAACGGCCCAATGTGTTCGCCAGAGCTGAAGAAGCCGACGCTTTTTTCGTGGAATATTGACGTGATTTCTGACTTTCGCGAGCTCCGGAGACTGTCCACAGACTTCTTGCAGGTGCACTACGCATTTTAAAAGAGCTACTTTGCCAGTCGCGCCTTCTACGCTTACATATACCGAACGCGGAATCGGCCGGTTTGCGCAGATAACGACTTTTGAGAATAGCCATTTTGTACGGAGAGTTTGCTGTAGACCACCTGCAAACGCCATTAGACACCTGAAACGAGGTGTCTATGAAAAATAAACCCCCCGCAATTCTGTAATCTGATTGGTCAATTGCGCGTGACTGCGGTCTAATGTGAGGCATTCGTTCGTATGTGCAACGTGGTAATTCCCGAACTGACCATAACAGTAGTCTGTGGGATCTCCAGTGTATCCATAGTTACACTGACACACGTACTCGTTCCCATAGTACGACGTGTAGTTGCGGGTGCAGTAGGCGTTGCGTCCACAATCCTCTGAACACAGAGCTGCAGTACATACACATACATATACAGTAGGTGTATGAGTGTCAGGGGAAGTACTAGCACCAATGAATGGTCTACATGTGCATGCACATATTAATATCCTTTATAATTGCACAAGTGCAGACTATGTGTATCCATGCACGTGTTGCTCCCATTTGCATCCACACATTCTCACTATCACAAGGGTCATTGTTAGTATGTACTATTGATTGGACTCTGAGCTGGGCAAATGTGCAATTTTAGCTTCGATCTACGCAACTATTGAGAGACTCTATTTACTAATGTCCCACGGACAGTACCATATCGCCACACGTACAAACTGTGTGTGTGTAGAAAGAGTTACATGCTCATTGATATTAGAGTATTTTTGTACTGGAAGTTTGGCATAGTTTGTCAATTGGATTCAAAATTGCAGTTATTTACTGACACACTGCCTTACAAGTGCAGACGGTCCCATTTCCAGTGTATCCATATTGGCAGTTACAAGTGGAGCTCCCATTTCCCTGATCCAAACAGTAGGCATTCTCATCACAAGGGTTATTGTAGCATGGTATAGCTGCCGAAGAAAATTAAAAAACCCTATACTATACTTGTACCAGTTCTACCCTCCCTACCTTTGTACTTTATACCCCACCTATCATGGAATACTTACTACCCTCTACATTAAAGGGAATGTGGCAGTTTGTAATGGGTAAATTTAGAAACTGTTACCAAAAATGGCACTGGGCCCTATCGTTTAGCTCTATCTTTAGTAACATTTCTACCCTTACGTAATGACACTTTCCCTTTAACTATTCAAATGCAGTATTCAAATAATGTGTATATATATGTACATGATAATATGTCATTTATGATACTCACCTTCGCAGTATGTCCCGTTTCCAGTAAATCCGTAAATACACGTGCAATAATTGTTGTAACACTCGGCATAATCGTGGCACTCTTCACTGCATGTTGTTGAGTTATCTGGGGCGGGACTCGGAGATGTACCTGCAGAATCAACCTGGTATATACCTCGGCTACGTAATAGGCTGCCGAATGCTCTTTTTTCCTCGGAAAAATTTACAAGTTCAGTTGAAGGGGTCAAAGTCAGAGTGAGCCAACCCTCAATATACAACTCTTGCCGGTTTTCCTTCAAACATGTTCTAAATGTCCTTATAGAACAAACCGGCAAGAGTTGTATATTGAGGGTTGGCCCACCCTGACTCTGACCCCTTCAATTGTTCGCCTCAGCTTGGCCTTGATCACGTTGATGACACGTGTACAACAACAATTTAAACGACCCAAGTGGGCTGTCCTTACAGACTACAGACAAGGTCATGTGAATGCCAGTGAGAGGACATGTCTCCCCTGGGACCACACTGCTAATGGGGGCGCACACAGAAGGAATTCAAATGATGTCATTCCTTTTATCCCCCACACTGACCAGAGTGTAGGATGGTGTCAAGTATCACTGTCATGTGACTATAACTGACATGGAGGTGTTACTTACCAATAGGAGACGGCCAGGTTACAGTGGGGTGGTCCTTTGGGTAAATACCACTCACATGCAGTCATGTGCAAGTAACATGTGCAAGTATCATGCAGGAAAACGATGGTGTTGTAACTTAGTTTGTCTGGAACGGATGTAGAGGAGTACCAGTTGATTCCCAACAGGAGTCTGACAGGACATTATGTAGAGTAGCTGTCAGTGGGAGTTGTGGCTCAGTGCTTAGAGCACTGGTCTCACAGTAAACTCTGAGTGCGACTCCCGATAATAGTTTGTTTTCCGTATGCCCAACAGATACAACGAAAAACTTTGAAGAAGAGATAACTTTCGCGATGTAGTGGTAAATTAGACCGTCGTGGATAAAAAATAATGTAGCTGATTTCTTAAAGTTTGCACTGCTACAGAAGGCTTACGAACAAACTTTCTACGAAATATTCAGCATTACCATTAACCCACACAATGCCCTAGGTTTTCGTATCTGCAGCACAATACAACTCTGCTATGGCCCAGAGCACTCTCACATGCACGTTATTGCCACTAGTAGCCTGTTACATCGCTGAGGTACCAGGTTGATTCTGCAGGTAAATACTAAGTTTTCGTATCTGCAGCACAATACATCTCAAACAGCTCTGCTATGGTACAGTGCACTCTCACATGCACGTTACTACCACTAGTAGCCTGTTACATCGCTGAGGTACCAGGTTGATTCTGCAGGTAAATACTAAGTCTTCGTATCTGCAGCACAATACATCTCAAACAGCTCTGCTATGGTACAGTGCACTCTCACATGCACGTTATTGCCACTAGTAGCCTGTTACACATCGCTGAGGTACCAGGTTGATTCTGCAGGTAAATACTAAGTTTTCGTATCTGCAGCACAATACATCTCAAACAGCTCTGCTATGGTACAGTGCACTCTCACATGCACGTTATTGCCACTAGTAGCCTGTTACATCGCTGAGGTACCAGGTTGATTCTGCAGGTAAATACTAAGTTTTCGTATCTGCAGCACAATACATCTCAAACAGCTCTGCTATGGTACAGTGCACTCTCACATGCACGTTACTACCACTAGTAGCCTGATACATAGCATAGCACCAATGATGCATGTTACATCCTACCACTCTAGATGCATATACTACATATGACGTGCACGTGCGTGCATGGTATGCATATGTGTACCTTGCGAAGTGGCAGATGCAATAATGGAGAGCAACACCAGTGCCGCTATACCAATCGTGAAACAAGTCTTCATCTGCGAACAGATATTGAAACACAAGCTGTTTTATTTTGCATGCATTTCATGACGCACAGTTCTTAAATCGTGCACTTGTCTATTGCATTACCAGCTAACCTTGTGCTTCTTGGTATGTCCGTTCTCTTTGCCAGCAGTCCAACACACAGATACTCAGCTCACCAACAGACACTGCAGACAGCCACAATTCCCACTACACCACAATAATATATCACCAGCCCCACCTCTCCCCCGCCCTTTAACATACATGTCACATGGTCTAATATCTTCATGTATGCATTATAGTGGTTAGTTAAGATACGTAGGTGCTTCATTTTTACATTTTTAGTGTGTTCTGAAGTATTGCACTTGGGTCTAATTTCGTGTGTAATTGTAGTCAGGTATAGGTATGTAGAGGGAATTTTACAGTACCAAAGGCTAAAGGTGGAGCTGAACAATAGGCCACAGTGCAAGAATGCAATTAATTTCCACCCCATTTGCCTTTAATTTTTAGGGTGATTGCGCATGGCTGCTCAGTGTACGCAAGTACGTCGAATGTTTAACGTTGGCTAAATTACGTACACACCCCAATTTAGTCAACGTTAAACATTCGACGTACTTGCGTAGCCATGCGCAATCACCCTCAAAAATTAAAGGCAAATGGGGCGGGAATTAATTGCATTCATGCACTGTGGCCTATTGTTCAGCTCCACCTTTAGCCTTTGGTACTGTAAAATTCCCTCTACATACCTATACCTGACTACAATTACACACGAAATTAGGGTGTGTACGTATGCGAAAGGTCACACACCCTACCACTTATTCCTATTGTGCTGCACTTCGTATGTTGTATGTGCTGGTTGCTTGTGCTATGTTCTGCGATCCGAGCGAGGGAGCCCTCTCCCTCTATACTCAGGGCTCTAATGGCACATTGTGCACTATCGCTGCGGCTGAGATGACGATACGTTGCATTGAGAGAGAGAGAGAGAGAGCGCGCTGAAACACTCAAGCAAATACTTGTTTTTGGAAGGAGCCAAAGGATGACTATTCCGAATGTAATCTGCACATATCAACTTCCGTGTCATCTCACCCAAATGTAAAATACATAGGTTCCAGTGGTGTGTATGTACTGGCATCACCAGAATCCTGTCCATGTTTTCTAGTGGGCTACTACATTGGCACGCACGTTCACGCCCCTTGTATGCAAACCCAAACTAATGGACCATAATTATTATGGTAACTGCGTGTGTGTAGAGTTATTTTGTGTGTCCTTATGTTGTACGCCACATTAATGCAGCGGATATTCACCAGATTCATTCTAAGCACGAGCAAGCACTACACTCCACACACACACACTGGGTAACACCACTTCACACTTCCATTTCAATTTCAACACTCCGTTAAAAATTTCACTATGCAATAGAGAACAGTATACAAGTGTACAAATCACACTACTATGCTATAATTATACGTAGGTATGTTACTGGTTACTCCTCTTGTGTTGCTTAAACAAATGTGCGTTTGTGCGTTTGGTGTGGTAGGGAAGGTTCCGTTCTGCTATCAATCAGTGTAGCTTTCGGAGCCACTGCCAGTAGAAAGGCCGGTATACTCGACATATTCGGCCAGGAACTGCTGTACCCTTTCCCTGAGGTAATAGCGTAAATATGCGTTCAATTCCTCGTTACAGCCAGGGACTTCCAGAGCTGGGGCTCGATACGGCTCATCACTGTCTATTTCTGTGGAGGAGAGAGAGAGAGAGAGATATTGTAACAAAAATTGAAGGGAGTGTGTTTGCAAACAGTATCATGCATTTGTGCATATATACACCTCAACCTTTGTGCAGCCCTAAATGAAATTTTTTTAAAATTTAACCCATGGCTCACCCTCTTGTCACTCTCTTGGTTAGCTACGTGGGCACTTACATATGCAGATTTTGAGTTTGCAAGTTTGCTGTAAGGTTTTTGTTCGCGTCGCAGCCGGATATTTGTGTCCACTGGCCACTGCAGGGCTCACCTATGCAATCATCGGCGGCGAAAGAGTAGAAGTAGCCGCCAATGCAGGTGCAGGAATAGCCTCCCACGGTGTTGTTGCAGTACCTGATGTACTCACTCTGACAATAGTCTTCACTCTCGTCGCACTCATTGACATCTGAAGTGGTGGTGGAAGTGAATCGACATAAATCACAAAGTAAAGAAAATAGTAGAAATATTATTCAGTTTAACACACAATATTGAGTAATGACACACTTCTTGGTCCATGATCGACATCTCCAATCAGATTTTGGTGTGTGTGTGTGTGAACTCTATAGGACTAGTCATACGTAGTAACCAAATCCTGAGTTACTTTCCCTAGTTGCCGATACGAGATTACTCACCATAGCAGTTGGTGATTCCATCGCCATCATATCCTGACATGCACTCGCACTCGTAGCTACCATCATTAGATTCGCAGTTGGCATTCTCGGCACAGGGAGACATGTAGCAGGGATCATTTGCTCCCGAACCTATCCAGTACAAAAAATACATGAGAATGAAGCCGGCCGTATTATACGTACGTATATCTGGGAACAGAGGTTACTTGCAGCCACACTATCTCATGTGACTATGGTATAAGTATAATCCACACTATCTCATGTGACTATACCACACCAAGCATAATCATCCTTGCCACTATATATACACACACGGGAGAAATATAGATACAATGGTCCCTCCCACTGCTAGCCAGTCTTTGTATGGAAATGTGGGAGGATTAGAGCGGCGATATGTAAGTCAAATTCTTGCCATTGTGTTCTCAGTCCTCCTATTTATTAGTTTAGTTAGCCTTGTGGGAGATGCGGCGTGGAGAATGCCTGTAGTTAATTGACTGTGGGTAGTTTCTTGGACAAGACAACGCGTGTTTCTTTGCCGCTTTTGGAGGTGTCACTTTGTAGCATTTTCACGTACGACTACAACTACACATTTTCCATCAACTTTTGTCAAACAGACTTATACTGGCTCAGTAACCACTGTGCCGTTTAGCGTGATGAAAACTGTTTTACGCGATAAAATGTTGTACACAAGTATTTTGGTCTCGAATATTGTACGCAGCTCTTCTTTTCTTTGAAAAGAAAGAGCTGTCCTAGGTGTACATAGTTGACTTGTTTGCATTGCCTTGCCTTTCTACCTCGCTACCAAGTTGTTGAGATATGCTAAGGCATCTCTTCCTTTTTTCCTCCGAAAAGAGAGTTCTCCTGGGTGTAGTTGACTTGTTTTGCTTTGCCTTTGCCTGGTGGCTATGTACCTCGTCGTTGTTACGTACAAAAATAATTGTGCCCTTCAGGTTTTTAATCCCCCATAAAAAAACGCCTAGTTATACGTACCGTCGCTGATGCTCTGCTTTGTCAATGCAATGACGGAGAAAAGAACCAGTGCTGCTATGCCGGCTTTCTCCATCTGTTGACAAAGATAATGAACTAACTATCAACTTGGTGTATAAATATACATTAATCTCAGGTAATGCTACAGTCAGCAGGGCGCAATTATATGCTGTTAAGTAACACAGAACATTTATTGACATTGACTAAAATGTAGCCTCATTGGTATACATATGTACACGAGTTTCCTCATAGCACATCAAGCATGCCATGAACCATGAATTCTATATACCTGCACACCTATCTCGTAAACTTCTCACGATACCGACCAACCTCGATCACTATCTTTCGTCTGGCAGTCTATAAATTCTTCTACCTGCACACCTAAAACTTCTCTTAGTACCGACTAACCTTGATATCTGTGTTTCGCCTGGCGGTCTATCACGCTAGTGCAATCACTCCCCAGCACTGACACTAAATCAACTGCAGCGCTCTCATATGTACACCAGCTCCACCCTTGACAACTATGCGGTTGACATATGCTTGTCTCTACACCTCTGTATCGCTGTAGAGGTTAGTATGTGTGTGTGTGGGTTGCAAGTACGTAGTACATATGGGGCTGGACCTGAGATCGTGTTACAGCTCAATAGCTACAATATTAATGTAGATGTACAAGTGGTGATATCATTACTTGTTGAAGTGCCTGACTAGTCATGAGTGTAAATTCCTCCTGGTGTTACAATTCCACTGGTAAGTGGACCGTTACATTGGCGCATGAATCGTCAGTGAGGAAGACAAACTTTGGCTACTATTCCAAGGAAAAAGCAAGTTCAAACTTGGCCCAAGGCACTCATTCTCTTTGTCCACAGAACAAATCGTCAAATGAATCAGGGAATGCACCACTTGTTATGGTTGATATGTTTTTGTCTCTCTTTTGAAGCAACCTCCTTAGCCCGGTTTACACCAACAATCTAATAAATCTGAAACCTACTTTAAAAACTTAGTTTCCAAGCAAGCTTCTGGAGTGTGGTAACTACAAGTGGCTGTTTACACATGTAAAATAAAACGGAGGTTTAAAGTTGTAACTCTGTTGACGGAGGGCTAAGTATAGTACATGATGCAAATTATAGTCTTGTGAAAAAGATATGTACTTCGATACTCCTACCTTAATTTCCACCCCATTTGCCTTTAATTTTTTAGGGTGATTGCGCATGGCTGCTCAGTGTACGCAAGTACGTCGAATGTTTAACGTTGGCTAAATTACGTACACACCCCAATTTAGCCAACGTTAAACATTCGACGTACTTGCGTAGCCATGCGCAATCACCCTCAAAAATTAAAGGCAGATGGGGCGGGAATTAATTGCATTCATGCACTGTGGCCTATTGTTCAGCTCCACCTTTAACCTTTGGTACTGTAAAATTCCCTCTACATACCTATACCTGACTACAATTACACACGAAATTAGGGTGTGTACGTATGCGAAAGGTCACACACCCTACCACTTATTCCTATTGTGCTGCACTTCGTATGTTGTATGTGCTGGTTGCTTGTGCTATGTTCTGCGATCCGAGTGAGGGAGCCCTCTCCCTCTATACTCAGGGCTCTAATGGCACATCGTGCACTATCGCTGCGGCTGAGATGACGATACGTTGCATTGAGAGAGAGAGCGCGCGCTGAAACACTCAAGCAAATACTTGTTTTTGGAAGGAGCCAAAGGATGACTATTCCGAATGTAATCTGCACATATCAACTTCCGTGTCATCTCACCCAAATGTAAAATACATAGGTTCCAGTGGTGTGTATGTACTGGCATCACCAGAATCCTGTCCATGTTTTCTAGTGGGCTACTACATTGGCACGCACGTTCACGCCCCTTGTATGCAAACCCAAACTAATGGACCATAATTATTATGGTAACTGCGTGTGTGTAGAGTTATTTTGTGTGTCCTTATGTTGTACGCCACATTAATGCAGCGGATATTCACCAGATTCATTCTAAGCACGAGCAAGCACTACACTCCACACACACTGGGTAACACCACTTCACACTTTCATTTCATTTTCAGCAGTCCATTAACAATTTCACTATGCAATACAGAATATTATACAAGTGTACAAATCACACTACTGTGCTATAATTATACGTACGTAGGTATGTTACTGGTTACGCCTCGTGTGTTGCTTAAGCAAATGTGCGGTGTGGTAGGGAAGGTTCAGTTCTGCTATCAATCAGTGTAGCTTTCAGAGCCACTGCCAGTAGAAAGGCCGGTATACTCGACATATTCGGCCAGGAACTGCTGTACCCTTTCCCTGAGGTAATAGCGCAAATATGCGTTCAATTCCTCGTTACAGCCAGGGACTTCCAGAGCTGGAGCTCGATACGGCTCATCACTGTCTATTTCTGTGGAGGAGAGAGAGAGAGAGAGATATTGTAACAAAAATTGAAGGGAGTGTGTTTGCAAACAGTATCATGCATTTGTGCATATATACACCTCAACCTCTGTGCAGCCCTAAATGCAATTTTTTTAAAATTTAACCCATGGCTCGCCCTCTTGTCACTCTCTTGGTTAGCTACGTGGGCACTTACATATGCAGATTTTGAGTTTGCAAGTTTGCTGTAAGGTTTTTGTTCGCGTCGCAGCCGGATATTTGTGTCCACTGGCCACTGCAGGGCTCACCTATGCAATCATCGGCGGCGAAAGAGTAGAAGTAGCCGCCATAGCAGGTGCAGGAATAGCCTCCCACGGTGTTGTTGCAGTACCTGATGTACTCACTCTGACAATAATCTTCACTCTCGCACTCATTGACATCTGAAGTGGTGGTGGAAGTGAATCGACATAAATCACAAAGTAAAGAAAATAGCAGAAATATTATTCAGTTTAACACACAATATTGAGTAATGACACACTTCTTGGTCCATGATCGACATCTCCAATCAGATTTTGGTGTGTGTGTGTGTGAACTCTATAGGACTAGTCATACGTAGTAACCAAATCCTGAGTTACTTTCCCTAGTTGCCGATACGAGATTACTCACCATAGCAGTTGGTGATTCCATCGCCATCATATCCTGACATGCACTCGCACTCGTAGCTACCATCATTAGATTCGCAGTTGGCATTCTCGGCACAGGGAGACATGTAGCAGGGATCATTTGCTCCCGAACCTATCCAGTACAAAAAATACATGAGAATGAAGCCGGCCGTATTATACGTACGTATATCTGGGAACAGAGGTTACTTGCAACCACACTATCTCATGTGACTATGGTATATAATCCACACTATCTCATGTGACTATAATCCACACTATCTCATGTTACTATATACCACACCAAGCATAATCATCCTTGCCACTATATATACACACACAGGAGAAATATAGATACATTGGTCCCTCCCACTGCTAGCCAGTCTTTGTATGGAAATGTGGGAGGATTAGAGCGGCGATATGTAAGTCAAATTCTTGCCATTGTGTTCTCAGTCCTCCTATTTATTAGTTTAGTTAGCCTTGTGGGAGATGTGGCGTGGAGAATGCCTGTAGTTAATTGAATGTGGGTAGTTTCTTGAACAAGACAACGCGTGTTTCTTTGCCGCTTTTGGAGGTGTCACTTTGTAGCATTTTCACGTACGACTACAACTACACATTTTCCATCAACTTTTGTCAAACAGACTTATACTGGCTCAGTAACCACTGTGCCGTTTAGCGTGATGAAAACTGTTTTACGCGATAAAATGTTGTACACAAGTATTTTGGTCTCGAATATTGTACGCAGCTCTTCTTTTCTTTGAAAAGAAAGAGCTGTCCTGGGTGTACATAGTAAACTTGTTTGCATTGCCTTGCCTTTCTACCTCGCTACCAAGTTGTTGAGATATGCTAAGGCATCTCTTCCTTTTTTCCTCCGAAAAGAGAGTTCTCCTGGGTGTAGTTGACTTGTTTTGCTTTGCCTTTGCCTCGTGGCTATGTACCTCGTCGTTGTTACGTACAAAAATAATTGTGCCCTTCTCGTTTTTAATCCCCCATTAAAAAAACTGCCTAGTTATACGTACCGTTGCTGATGCTCTGCTTTGTCAATGCAATGACGGAGAAAAGATGTAATACTCACGAGGACACACGTGTATGTGCATATGCAGTGGATGTTAGGTTCGTACATATTGGAGTCAGTGGGAATAGGCTGGAAATAGAAAAGCCCATTCTACTAAACATGAAACGAATAAACCATAGAATATCTAAGGGGCTCAGATCCATCCCGAACAATAATACTTATGATAATAACCTGCAGGTTCTTCCTCCAGCATAGCACTCATCTGGTTTGCCCAGTATACGTCTCGCGTCTGAACAACCGCAAACCTAGATAACCACAACAGGTTTTTCTCCCCATTAACTGTTGGATGTCATGTGGTCGCTTACCCAAAAAATATCGTCCCAGTGCCCTCAGGCGGAGCAGTCCACTGGAATTGCACCTCTATAAGGTCAGCCCTGGCGGCATTATTGTGGGTTATTCCACTCTGCGTGCAAAAAAGGCTAGAGCTTGCCACAGCCAGTAAAATATACGGGTATTTAACAAAACTCACGTTCGCTGGTGTGCACGAGCTAGTGCGAGTGAATATCTCACTGTCGATCATCGCAAATGGAGCGTTCGTCAAGAAACTATCGTCGGCGGCCAACCGAGCCCGGACAAAGAATCCCCGGAACGTCACGCCACCCATCCGTCTAAAAGTCACTGAAGATTGTGAGTGCGAATGTGAGAAAGATAATATCTAGCTAATTCTGCCGACAGTGAGCGTGGCCGTGGCCGAACAGATTATAGAAGGCAACGTACATGTGTATACTCTGCCGGGAGTATACTGCAAGGTCCCGTTGTCGTCTTCAAACATGGTCAGGTCGATCTCGTAGGGAACCGGGGTGGTTTGACCGTTTGCTGCGTGGGGCGATTCGGGCGTGAGGGTCGTGCAAGCTCCGGCGGGAGCTCCCTCAGGACGCGCATCTGCAGCGTACAGGCAGGCGAGGAGCAGCACGAGAACCGAGGCAGCGAGAGACATGGCGACACTGCAGACCGATACCTCCAGCAAACAAAATTTTATACCAGCGCGCCCCCAGCTGTGCGCATGCGCCTCGAGCTTCCCGGGAAGCCGCACGCACAATGGGAAAGGGAAATGGCTATATAGTTCGTGGCAGGAGCAGAGCCCTGCCTTGTCTGCCAGCTGCACCTGACTACTGAGAGCCTGGATAGTTGTCTCGTCCTCCTATACAAAATTAGGGAGCAGTGGGAAGGGAGAGGTCACCCCACATAAAACAAAGATGTAATCCTTCCTGCCATGCAAACATGTGGGCAAGTTTATTGTTTTGAGCGCCTGCAAAGGTCACTGTGAAATTGAAAGAAAGTAGACAGTCTTTCTGGCCAACTTGTGAGATGGACAGCCATGCCTGAGCCGGTGTTTATGCCTGTTCCTGTCAGCATTTCCTGTCTTGATAGGAATGGAGTAAGGCTCACAGTGGTGGTGCCTCAGAAAATACACCAGCTCCACCCTTGACAACTATGAGGTTGACATATGCCCGTCTTTTACACCTCTGTATTAGTTTGTGTGTGTGTGTGTGGGTTGGTTGCAAGTACGTAGTACATATGGAGCTGGACCTGAGCTTGTGTTACAACTCAATAGCTACAATATTAATGTAGATGTACAAGTGGTGATATCATTACTTGTTGAAGTGCCTGACTAGTCATGAGTGTAAATTCCTCCTGGTGTTACAATTCCACCGGTAAGTGGACCGTTACATTGGCGCATGAATCGTCAGTGAGGAAGACAAACTTTGGCTACTATTCCAAGGAAAAAGCAAGTCCAAACTTGGCCCAAGGCACTCATTCTTTTTGTCCACAGAACAAATAGTCCAATCAATTTGGAATGCACCACTTGTTATGGTTGATTTTGTCTCTCTTTTGAAGCAACCTCCTTAGCCCGGTTTACACCAACACTCTGAAACCTACTTTAAAAACTTAGTTTCCAAGCAAGCTTCTGGAGTGTGGTAACTACAAGTGGCTGTTTACACATGTAAAATAAAACGGAGGTTTAAAGTGGTCACTCTGTTGACGGAGGGCTAAGTATAGTACATGAGTATATATAGTCTTGTGAAAAAGATATGTACTTCGATACTCCTACCGCAGAAGCCCTGTGTTAATATCGTGTAGAAATCCAGTTACAAAGTTCACTGGTTAAACAGTATGGTATGTATACAACTCAATAGTATATATTTGCGTAGCTATGGGGAGTTTACTGATTAGGAAGGTGTGCTTGTGTGGTGTATGTAATTCCACCACTGTCACTGCCGCCACACAGACAGCAACTCTAGCCGGTGTATGAGGAAACTCGGCTACCAGTTAACTGTCAGCCACACATGACAGGATGGCCCCAATGAATCGGATATCTGAGATGGCCATATTTTTGTCAGCCTCCAAGTCTCAGGGGACGCATACCCTGGGTCACATGCCCACATGTTTGTGTACAGTGTAAAAACTAAGCACATGCTCTTCCTTTAGAAGACTAGGAGTGTACATTACTCGTGAGCAGGCAGTCACAGACACTCTTTTAGTACAGCTGGTGGTAGATGTTATGGTCTTAGTGGATGCGCATCGGCAGATGTTACTGTCTTTGTGGATGTATCGGTAATCTACATTTGAATTGTCACTGATCTCTGCAAAATTGTGTTATCTTATGAATAGTCACGACTGACAATGAAAACCTTTCTCTCCCTCTCTTCGTTCCACTTTGTGCCGTACAGGAAATGAATTATAATGCATATATAATATAAAATGTCTAAATGTAAAATGAGTTATAACGCATATAAAGTGTCTACAGCTAAAGAAGAGACAGTCATGTCCCTGAGTAGTCAGGTCATGGTGTAGAGAGGGGTCTAGTTAAAGTAGCGATAGAGGCGAGATTTCTGGATGGTGGTGCGGACCACGTCATAGATGTCGTAGCGCTGTTGTGTGGTGTTGAGATAAGAGCACTCTCCGTCGTAATCCACCACTGTTGCGTCCAGACGTATTGGCAGATTCAGTGCTCCAGCTGTAGGGACAAAAACTGAATAACTACGTATGTAGGCTAGATGTACAAGTGAATCCCCAGAAGCCCTTCTCACACTTCTTTCTCCTCCTTCTCTCTGTATGTAGTATGTAAATCAAGCGTGAGCTGTTATTTTACATACAAAAGCACGGCAGAATAATTCTGCATAATTATTGAGATAAATCCAACGTAACCCAGAATGTTGTCTCACCTTCACAGGAGCCAGAGTTTGGATTGTAGGCATAGCCATCACTGCAGACGCACATTGGCATGTCGTATTCGATGCACGTTTGGCCAGCGTTACATACTACATCCGAGCAATTACCTGCAGGGAATAGATCATTGCTTCATTAATCTTTAAGAATCAGCTCTTTGCTCATACTACAACTTCGGGATAAATACCTGGCGTTTTCACGCTTAACAGTTATACAATTTAAACTGAGTGGATCCACTCAGTTCAAATTGTATAACTGTTTTATTACCAATAGGAGCCTCATAGACTTCATCAGTGCTAAGATCAGCCCAGAAAACAGCATATACTTGAACCACTGCATACCTGCACAGATAAGAATTATAATGGCCACTTACTTGAAACATTTACAGCAAACTATGATAAAATAGTTTACTTAATCAAAACCCATGTACTGTAAATTGCTTATACCTCCATAATACTAGTGCCGCACTAAGTATTTAGTATGATACTAAGTGGAACTACTGCAACACAGTGTCTTACCGAAATTGTATGGCGCCGGTTCCAGATGGTGGTGCAGTCCAGTCCATTAGCATTATCGTCTTATCATCGTTGTTAGTGTGGGTTATACTTGACTGAAATTGGAAAAAATACTTTAAATTATTGGGTGCATGCAAGAATTCTTCCAACTATTATTGGTTGCAGTGATGTATTTACTTAGCTACAAATCAAGACAACTGTGTATACTTTATAATAAATATAAAAATCTTAAACTAAAAACTACGCTTCAGCTACTAATCTATGGATCAGTTTTTTTGACCATCTCTTCATCACGCATTCATACTGTAAAAGGACTGACTGTAGTAAATTGCTTACATTCGTCGGGGCACACAGTCCAATCTGAGCCAGGTACTGAGTTGACCACCCCAAAAGTCCCAACTCTTGTCATGTCATCTGCTGCAGTGCGCGATTGCACAAAGAACCCTCGAAATAGGCTGGTTGTATCATTCGGCTGGCGAACCAGTTGCACTGTTGAAGAACACATTAGACATAGTTTTCTCTAACGACTGAAAATTTCCCCAGATATCTATATTATTCCTGCACACATGCACATTACTCCTCTGTTTGGTTGTAAGAGCTGCCAAGAGAGCTGCCAAGTTTACTGAAGTGCCCAGAGCTACATATAGGTTCTACTGAATGCGTAATACGTGTGGTTTACTAATGTTGCACCATGTTCAAGAACTTACGTCGGTATGTATATCCTGGCCTATAATAGTAGCCATAGCTTGGCTCAGAGCCTGAGCCAGACCCATCCTCATGAACCAGGAATGGAGACAGGTCCACGGTGAATGGAGACATGTTAGTCTGGGAGTCGGTGCCGTGACTCGGAGTCAGGGATTCACATGCCCCCAATGGTGCTCCTGATGGTCTCGCATATCCTGCGGTCACTAGGGCTGCTATAATGATCAGTCCTTTCATCTGATGATCACAACAACAAGACGGACAATGAGAGTACAGTATCTATAATCTTTAACTGAGTGTGTTACTCATACTTACATACAAAAATGAATAGTTCTTACCTTTACTCCCTTTTCATACACTGTACGTATTTTTACTATAGCAAGAAGTTCTTCAGCGGCTGGGAAGAGCTGTGTACTGATGCTAGAATTTTCTCCACCCTGGTTTTATGTGTATTGGGTGGTCACTCGAGAGTATTGCAGCATTCCATGTGAAATAAAGTCTGCATGAGTAGTATTCAAAGTATGGGTGGGTGCGCTGTGTGTATGTAAATAGATACATACGTGTGTATTGTGGTTCCATGCACTGCACCTGTGACAGTTGTAACGTTGTGTCACTTCTAGCTAACTTGGTTATCCGATACACTGCTTGGCGAACACGTGCCTTCCTCCTGCACCAAGTGTTTGTCCTTATGGTTCTTTTGCTTTCCATATACTGCACCCTCAAGTGGCTGTACCGTTGTTAGAAATGTTTTCTCTCTTTCCCATGCTGGCGTCCTGTTAATGTGCTAAAGGTTTCCGTAATATGTGGCATTAATCCTATCCCCCAGACACAATCCAATCATAAGGTGTCCTCTTGAAAGGCTTCCAAGTTTCCCGAAAAAAAGTGAAGTGCGGCACTTCACCTTTCAAAATTATGCACATGAGGTAGAAATTACGTGTTTCATTGGCGACCCGTGTCATAGCAAACTATGATCATCTTGCAACCGACTTATGTGGTATTATTGCTCCTACAGTGTTGACCATAGCCTTACTGGGCCCTTCTTTATTCTGCACTGTTTAAGTTATTTCGTTTCTTAATTTAACAATGCCTGGAGTTGGGTTGCAAATTGCCTCCCTTTAGGCTAGGTTCACAATATGTCCCATTTACCCGACGCACCACACCGTGTCGCGTTGTGCCACAAAGACAGAAATGGATTCTATCCTCGCGATGTGGAACGGCGTGACAGGGACATGCGACATAATAATTATTGTGAACCTAGCCTTAGGAATAGAGAACATGCTCCTGCAACCTTATGCTTCGTTTTAACCTGTCACTAAACTGTCTGCACTGAACACAAGCTGTTGCTTCTCACACAACCATTTATGTAGCTGCTAGTAAATGTGGCGAGTGTATCATGAGTCACTCATTCACTTCCCACTGAAGTCTCCACATCTTTTAAGCCTCGTGTTAATGATAGTGGCTTTATTTCAGCCACTATAGCTCGTCCAACATTGGGTGTAAACCAAAAATAACCAATCAACAAAGATGCTTTGCTATCTGGGGAGGCTATAGATAGTCCAGTCTCTTCTGAGCAGCAAACTGGCTGATCTTGCTTCGAACAGCTCCGTGCAGCTGCTGGCGGATCTGGAGGGTGTTTGTAGGGCACTCTTCACCGGGACTCTGATACTCCACTCCAGCCTCCACGACCGGGTAATCTCTCGTCACTGGGTTACGAGAGAAAAGAGACATTTGTAAACCCTCGGCGCGCATGCAGGTAAGAGCGCTCTGCCTAGACTGTAGAGTGTTGTGGATTCAAATCCCACGTCTTCCCTTGAAAAACCCTTGATGCATGGTTTTTGTCGGGGTTAATTTTATATGCCCAATGTTTGATGCACCTTCACGGTGCGTGTATGGAAGCGTGTGGGTTTCCACGCCCAGTACATGATGATGGACATGACTGCTTTCTCAGTTAAAACTAGTCTACCTACACAAGTTTGTGAGTTGTGTGCTGGTCTTACGGTGTAAGGAGAACTGTGCTATGGGTATGTTCCCGTGGAAAGGCTATCTGGCACATGATGACTGTCCTGTCCAGACTCTGTGTGAAGTTGAGCACAGTCAGAGTGTTCTGGTGAGGTCCACCGATCACAAATGAGCCCTTGCCCCCCTCTGGTAGTAGCTGGCCCTGTGGAGCACATAGCAATGCATTATTGTCATGAAACTGGGAGTGTTTTGTAGTCTATTGGGAGACTTAGAGGTTCTTAGCAAATGATAGTTTCTGATCTGAAGTTAGGGTCAGGAGATTATAGTATATACAAGTTGGATTTCCTCAGGTATTGTATTATGGTCTGCGCTATAAAGCTGTTGGAAATAGGCACAACATTGGTAATAGAAATCTACTAACGTGTAGCGATCATTCATGGCACTCACACACCCCTAACTCAGTCCTTATTCCCGTACCTGAACCACCCAGTGTGTCTGGTTGATATTTTCATGCTGAATGTCGCAGAGAACTGTCACATTACTGAACTCCTCTGCAAGTATAGGACCAGGTGGTGGATCGGTCACCACTGCAATGGCTGCAGAACAGGTGATGGTTAAAGTGAATGTGTAGCAGACAAACACAGACGGATGTAAACACCAGACACAGAGGACATAGGCACACAGAAACACAGACAGCAGATTACATTCCCCAGACAGAGAAGTGCATAAAGAGGAGTCAGACAGTTGACACGCCCCAGACAGATGATGCACATAATGACACACATGCACGCGCACACAGATACACATACAGAGAAACACAGACAGCGAGGACACAGTCAGCAAAACCCAAAGAGACAGAGAAACAGACACAGATAGCTAACACAAAAAGTAGACAGAAACGGAGAATGACAGAAACGGAGAATGAGGCAGGCAGAGAGGAGGAAAGTGACGCACAAACAGAGAAACGTAGACAGATGACAAAAACAGACAGAGCACAACAGTCGCAGACACAGACAGTGGAAGACGGGCAGAAAAGAGGACACGGAGATATATAGACACACAGACAGATAGCACAGAGGCATAGACACAGACACAAAGAAGGACACAGAGAGCAGAGTGTAGTGATGTATATTTCAACATACGGGTGCTCATTAGGGCGAACGAGGCAACAATATCTCCCAGGTCTTGGTCACGACAGTACACGACAGATCCGTTCAGCTCCGGAGCAAACACATTGATGATCAGAACACTGTCTCCATTTCCCTCGATGGAGAACCGAGGGTCGATAGTGGAGTTGATGGTGATCTCTGGTGGTTCTCTGTCATCTCCACTGCCCATCAGGAGACTGCTACCACTGCCACTAGTAATGCTAGAACCTGATCCACTGTCAACTGCAGAAGAACCACAGTGTATATATGAACGTCAAAGGGGCAAAGGCAAAGCAACGACATACAGAACAACTTTCAAAGAAAAAAGAGCTGCCTTGAATATGATTTGAACCTAAGATACTTTAACTCCAAACTACATATATACACACATGAAAAATCGCTGGCAAGGTCGCAAGGCAGGGTCTGTGGCAACCAGGATAACTTGCACTGCTATCTTGTCTTATCCACCATTCTGAAGTTCCCTCTATTTAACTCCAGACTCGTATAATACCTCCGTCCAGGTCATTAGCTGTATGCATGGTCCAGATAGTCTGTCTGACCTCTCCTCCCTCCATGATCCTGCACACTATCTCAATGTGCTGCTGGTACTCAAATGCCGTCACAGAGCCGCCCATCGGGTGTATGTAGAACAACCTCGGCTCTAGCACTATAATACAGTGCAGATGGGAAAACCTTGCTCATTATTCAGCTCTTTTCTAGGACACAATAGCTAAGGAGTTGCAAAGATGGAATTCATATCTATCTTTCCTGGGGCTCTTCTATTAGAGTTGTAGTTACAGGTCGAAACTACACATTGTTTCACACACCGCAATAGTGGCTGTATCTCTTGACTTACATGAGCCGTGAGCTCCAGTGACTAGTAGCATGACTGCTACAACCAAATAACTTCTCCCATCCATTTCTGCACAAAGTTTGTGACTTGAATCACAGCAGTATATAGCTACATCAAGCAACTAGTACATTACTGGGACATTGGCCTACATATTTATCAGCTACAGCTTACATACCTTTCTGCTATCTTCTATGCCCACCTTGTGATGATACTTTGCAAAGAGTGCAGACTGGATGTTGATGACGTGCTTGTATCAATTTGTGTTCGACATATGCGTTTTTGTTCCACTTGGCATATTTTGAAACACGCAGCCCGGCCTCAGTTTACAGTAGTATCTGGTTAGCTATTCATTTGTTAGTGGTCTTGTTTCACATCTGTTGTATTAACTTACTGTGTGGGAATGCTGTCAGACCGTAATAGCCATAGTATTGGGAATTGTGGTCAGCTGTGGTACAGTGTTGAATTACTCTTAGAAATTACTCTTCTATAGGTTAACCGATGCACTGGCCCAGACTTAACCAACATACCTCTAGAGCATCAGCAGTCCAATATATCGCTTTACTTGATGAACTGACTAATGCATAACAGCTGTATGCACCACAGCTCATATTGGCCAAACTTTAATGGCCGTGGACAGTGTCGCATTACGGGATGCAGTGTGATTGACATCTGGAATTATGCAGAGGACTCTCCATTCCAGACCCCTAAACACGAGTATACTACACACAACATCTAGGCAACACTTTTGCAATACACCATGCACAATTCAGCATGTGTCAACTACAGAGGTAGAAAGGCAAAGGCACAACAAACATGTCAACCACACCCAGGACAGCTCTTTTTTCCAAGGAAAAAAGAAGAGCTGCCCTTGGTGGGATTCGAACCCACGACACTCTGCTTGCTAGGCGAGTGCTGTACTAACTGAGCTACCAGGGCAACACCTGTGTTCAGACCCATCAAGAACATGTCATCCCTTCCTTCCCTGAGTAATACACCCCTCTTCTCTATACTAAACACTTGCTTACAGTCTTATCAAGTACCAGGCAGAGCTATAGCACCCTTTGTACAGACCCTCCCAGAACATGAGTAACACATCATCTTCCACCATTACCAAAACACATCGCTTACAGTCTTTAACATTATGAACTGCAGGCATGCGTGTTAGCTACGTTCATTGCCCTCCATACAGACCCACCCAGAACAGCAGTAATTGCGTCTTGCATGCTACCATGTGTACACTTGCGACAGGCTTGAACACGTACAGCATAGCATGGATAATGTTTCAGGCGTACTGTAGTGGACCGTATACACTGCTGTTTGAGTCACATGACTAATGGCGTAACCAATTCTGGGAAAGTGTCACCTCACCTGTCAGTCTCAAGTAGCACCACCTGACCATGGTAACTAACTTCCCCCTGTGTATGCAGCTGTTGAGTCCCCGTGCTCCCCCACTAACTAAGACATGACACTAACTCATGGATACTGTTTCTTCCGTATTGCTCTTTATATTGCACTGTGAACATGTTAAGTAAACCTGCTATGATAAAGAACGTTTACTTTTGCATGGTGTATAACTATAGTTACTACAAGGCAAATAAATGACTATGCTGTTGAAGGGTGTCTGGAACCTCAGGAGTACAATTTGAGGCTCCATTTTCCTTACCAATGATAAAGTGATGTGTCATTGCTCACACTCTTCACTGTAACAACTCTTATAAACTGGGTCTTCGTAGTACTAACAGTGAGTAGTGAGGTTAGGATGGTACAAGTAGATGTGTATCGTTTTGGGATAAAAAAAACATGTGTCCTGAAGGAGACTGGTTATTATGTCGGTTTGCCGTTATCGTAGATCCTGGAGTGTTCTCTGTTCTCATCTTCCCTACTGGCAGAAGTGTATCTGCCCGTCCCTCCCTCCGACCAACACTCTAGTCCTCCGCTGGTGTCCTATCACTTCAGTAATGACAGGGTCTCACCACCACTACACACAGGTGTAGGGGCAGGTGAGTTGTCTATAGGGAGCAGCGATAACCAACTGTTGTGTATTGTGAAGATCGCCTAACAGGAAATAATAGCCATAGAACGTGACGGAAAGCATCAAGTAATAATTACTTTTATGGTAGTGGAGGGTGTAAGTCCCCAACCCAAGTAAGTCAATCACTGTTGTGGACCGTGTGTAGGTAGACTAGTGGAGCCTAACATGACCGTCTTTCCTGTTGTGTGTAAAATAAACCAGAACGTGAGTGGCTAGCTGGGATTAGATGTCTTTGTTTGGGGAGTTTCGCTCCCAGGGGCTATTGTGTCACAAACTATGAAATAGATTCCCTTACACGGTGAAAGTCAGGAAGCAAATATTGGTGAACCTTGCCATTGAAGTAATCCCTTGCTGCCCCTCTGTTGTGTTTGTACACACTTTGCTTCTCCTTCCCTACTTTCCAGCCTCACGTTGTGTATACGTGTCAGCATAGGTCTGAGAATAGCACTTATTTCGATAAACGGCAACATTGAAATAATAAAGGGTGAAAATGGGGTAGCAAGTATTACATGAAAAAACATGTTTATAGCATACTAGCTAAAAGTATAATATCAGAGGAAAATAAAGAACCTCCCCCACCCAAGCACACAAAACACAGACAAGACAATAACATATAATCAGAAAGAAAGAGGCACATGTAAGAAAATTTACTGCACATGTACAGATAGTATTAGAGTTGAGTTAATTAAAGGTCAACTATGTCTATTGCTGTGTGTGTGGTGTAGGAGAGGTTCTAGCATCCCTGCCTGAGGCAGGTGTCCTGGTGACAGGTGGGGAGGTGAAGGTGGGGACTGTGCTGGGGTGTCGACGGAGAAGGGAGGCTCATGTGTCCACCTGGACTGGAGTCTGGGGACCTCACAGAACCATATCCCAACACCGCCAATCTTGCCTCCCTCAAGAAGTGGGCAGGTACACTGACTGCAGCAGCACCTCAAACTGAGCCATCTATACCTCTCTCCTACTAACTCCTCACCTCTATTTGAGCCATCTAGACCTCTCTCCTACTATAACTCCTCACCTCTATTCCATGACCCAAGATTCTTTAAATTCACACTATTAGACCTAACCCTCAAGAAGTGGACAGATATTGGCCCAGAACCTGTACACCTGATCTGTAGAGCTAGTACTTACCTTACTATTGTTTGAAACCTAACATTCTATCAATAGATGAGGCTCATTTAGACCCAAACGACCCTAGAAACACCAAGTTCCTCAGCCTACTCCAATCGGTGCCCACCACCACCACTACTGGGGCTGAAGTCCACAGACCAGTGTTCAGACTGAGACAGCTCCATGAGAAGGAGAGGTTTGTCAGTGACGAAGAGTTTGCCAAGGAGAGACGCTTTGCCCTCTTGGAGCACAGACAACAGGGGGTAAGGCCTACAATCAAATGATGGCGTGACCCAACTAAGATGTAGAACACAGACCCACAGTAGACAGCAGGAAACAAAGGGTGACTTTGTGTATGTAATAGGTATTGCTTGTAGCAGTGGGACTCCTAGAACACAGGTAGCAAGTGGCTTTAGCAGCAGATAGTAGCAATACTCCTCCTAGTAAAGATGCGAGTGGCTTGAGCTTTAAAATCAGGTGCATGTGTATTGCTGCAATGTGACAAAGATAGCGTGAGCTTTTGCAATCCATTTGTAGTGTCCATATCAGTTTTTCCTGCCAATATCTTTCCAGGTTATGCGTGTATGTACTTGCTACTGCTTTCCTGGACCACAGGATGCACTCTTACCCTAGCTACTTACTTACCTATGCTTCCAAATGTAGCTAAAACCCACAGCAATTTAAACAATCTGCTTATGTATGCCGGTCGCAGTAATATGAGCAATTAGTACATGCGCCATCATCCGAGTGTTGTACGTAAGTATGGCTAATACGTTGAAGCACCTTTAATAATAAAACCCACAGCAATTTCTACAATCAGCTTATGTATGCCGGTCACAGTAATAATATGAGCAATTAGTACATGCGCCATCATCCGAGTGTTGTACGCAAGTATGGCTAATATGTTGAAGCACCTTTAATAATAAAACCCACAGCAATTTAAACAATCAGCTTATGTATGCCGGTCACAGTAATATGAGCATTTAGTACATGCGCCATCATCCGAGTGTTGTACGTAAGTCTGGCTAATGTGGATGTTTGATTGCAGCATCCAGAGTTGAAGAACAAGTGCATTCCTATGGCCAAGGAGCACATCTCAGCCAGCCAGTGGAAGGTTATACAACTCTCTTTCCTTTTAATGACACTGCTACTGTGATAGCGGTATGTGTCAATATAATAACTGTTTCGCTGTCAGGCCGTTCAAGAGTATCAGGCTTACAAGGATTACGAGTTGCCACCCACATACCAGGGGGATTTCCACGGCAACCGAAGAGAAGAGAGAAACCGATTTCTCCTACAGGTAATGTTGCTAGAGAAACCACTCTTGCTACACCATAGCAGGTGATATTGAGTGGTAAACGTTCTAGTGGGAAAATCTTCACAGTTTGTGTGGCATCCCAGAATGTTTCCTCTACAAATGGTTTTTGGTGGGAACTTAGAATAACTCCAACCCATCAATTTACAAGTAGCAGTGCAAGTAAAACAAACAAGAAAAAACATCGAAACTACATAAAGAAAGTCAGACTTAGAATACCAATGTACGAATGTTTCATTTCTACTAAAACCTTTCTCCGTTGATGCTACAGATAAACTCTTCCTAACCACCGTCATTGATGTTTTTTTACATAGATAAGAGAGCAAGTTCTCTCTAGAGTTAGGTCAGGGAGAGCACAGCTGAAGCTCGATGATGTCATTCATTATGACATCATCCCTAACATAAGGTAAACCAGTCACACGTTATGTAATGCAAGTCTCAGACAAATTGTTGCTGTTTTGACAGTGGGTTGAAGGCAACTCTTCTTGAGCTCATATCACCTCGACGTCCACTGAAACCGCGCAGAAAGCCAGCAAGAAAGGCCAAGGCGCAGGCAAGATCTACATGAGACCTGCATAGCCAAGATATTTTCCCAATACGATAAGCCTAAGGTTATATTTAGCTAATGTGCAGAAGAGATTGTAGATGCCTCGTCGTGCAAATTTTAGGTTGCACATTTCCGGACTCAGGTGGAAATTCTCAAGGCCACTACGTGATTTAGTTGGCCGTGCACTATCCAATCAGATTGTGTGATACAAATTAGCAGACTCTTAACAAGTTTAGAAATCACAAAAATCCTTCCAGAAAGATTGCCATACCACTGCAATATTATTTGGGTGTCATGGTTTGTTTTTTTTACAGAATCAGCAGATATCGGAGGCAAATATTGTGGTGAGGATTGTCAGGGCATTTGGCGTCCCACTGAGGCATCATCACCCCTCCGAAGAACATAGGTATAAGTAATGGAAATGAGGTGTATTGATTTGGGATTTGCCTTTTTGAAATGCAACTTCATGGCAGCTTTCATGGAAGTGTCTCAAAATCACGAAAGCTGATCCTCACCAACTGTTTTGTATAATATAACTAATTATTTTCACCTTTTATAATGTGACTCTGACATATTTACACCATTGAAGAAAGTGCTTGATTATCTATAATGAGGAATGGAAATACTATTTCCAACTTCTTCCTAAGTCGATTACTAATTGCCATCTTGCAACATTCCTAGTTTATTAAGCTTATGTGGAAAGAGTGTGTAGGCAGTTATAGTGTTTCCAGGGATGAACGTGATCCTAGTAATTTATTACAATCCAAACTTTGTCCATAATAGGTTAACCTGAAATTATGTTACAACACATTTGCCCTAATATAGATATACGTAGGCTGATTGGCATGCCAAAATAATGTGCTGGACTAGATCGTCTGAGTTGTGCAATGTTTCTGCGAATCCTAGGAAGAGTCATTAAGACAGGGGTGTGCCACAGTGGCATTACTCCCATGACCACAGTCTCTTCGTGTGAATCTGAATGTTGTGGGAAAGAGACGGTAGCCAATTAGTTCCAGCAGGTTATATCCCTTCCCTAGAGTATCATAAGGCCCGTCATTGCCTTGTGTTAGAGGAGATGAACATTGCATTTGGCCGCTTATTAACGAACATGGAACAATTTGTTCCAAGGTCGTTATCCCACGTGGAAATGCCTTAACTTTATCCAAATATAGCATACAGAAGACTCTAAATTCCTTTACTACTCAACCCATTAATTACCTCACCTTCTACAGGTAATTACTGTGGTTATGTGTGCATGCATGTCCACCTTAACTGATTGATTTCATCATTTTATTGGCGAGCGATGAGGAAATTTTATATATTTATGTGACGGCTCTGTCGGGTACTGCACATACCGTAATGTTCTACGTGATTCTAAATACACGCAAAACCCGCGCAAAATATTGAACTGCTCGCGCTCGCTCGCCAACAATGCATTACTTATACTTGGTAGTTGAAATAATGTTACCTTCCCACCAGCCATCGCCGTGGTCGGAGTCTATCAGTCAGTCCTCCCCGTGGACACACCCCCACCCTCACCTCCTCACACCCTCCCCCACATCATCATCACGATGATGAAGACATGATTACAGGGGCGCCCCCCGCCATCCGTAGCACCGTGTGTCCATTTGTGGAGGTGTCCGTGACTCACAGTGATGTGTGTCAGAGGACGTCTACTGCTGCTGGTCCCAATCCTTACTGGAATGAAGAGCTCACCATTCCATTCCAGTATGTCGTTCTTTCTTTATGTACAAATCAGGGTCTGCATTGTATAATACATTAGCGAAAAGAGTAAGACATTACCACTGGTTTTTAGCTACTCTTTGGCGAGAAACGGGAAAACAAAATGATATTGCCAGAGTTGCAACAGGGAGTATCAATGACAAAGCAACTAGTGCTGCTCTGAATACCACTGAAGATTAACAAAAACTCGTGTAGGTAGAATGACATAGCTATCCATACGCTGTAGCATACATCATATTGTGCTAAATTTCCTACACTCTTCCTGTAGCCCTCCATTCGGAGACTTTTCTCCAAGTAACTTGGCCAAAGTGACAGACTCTATCCAGTTCAACCTTTTCGACGAGATCACCATCGACTTACTTCAGGTTACATCTCGATATATAGCCAGGCTGTATTGCCGACAAAGAGAAAGAGAGGGGTGGAGGGTGTAAAAAAGGTGTAAAATAGGAGGGTTATATAGAAAGGAAGAGAAAAGCGAGAGTGAAAAAGAGAGAGGGAGAGAAATGGACGATAAAGGGAGAGTGGGACATGAGATAAAGAGGGGATAGAGGATAGAGGGAGAAAGGAAATGAAAAGAGGATGAGAGAGAAAGAAGAGTAGGGCTTGGTAGATTCAGACTTGTAGGTGAAAGATAGAGTAAGGGACGGGGAAAAGAAAGAGAAGAGCCAGGAAAACAGTTCATTTTCCTCAGGATGATAGGGAGAGGGGTACCAACATTCACCAGAGGAGAGAGAAGAGGTGGCTGGGCTCTTTCACTCTCCCATTCTCCACCCTCCATGCCAGGACCAGAGTCAGTCTCACACACTATATTGTACAGCTTTTCTTTGACTCGCCTACTTGTCTTTTACTTCCTTTCTACGTACATAGTATACTATTGTTCATTATAACACTCAAAACACTCAGCTTTCCCACATAGTATTCCCTGCAAATCTTTTTTATGACTGATTTTACAGTCACATGTCAAGATTATAGCAAAACTTCTCCGTTTTCCCAGATTGAAGGGACCTTTGTTCTGGAGGTACCCAAGCTCCTGCTAGGTTACAGCACCTCATCCGCCCCACTTGACCACACCCACTACGGACAAGGCCACACCCACCAGGGTTCGGGGTGCAGCCACTTGCAGCTGTTCATATCACTGGAACCACCGCTTAGCTCTCTCCCACCCATCAGAGACATTGTGAGAGACTTATTACAATCACGACTATAATGAAACCCTCTCCAAGAACATCTCTGAGAAAAGAAACACCTTTCTGACAAGATTTCTAAATAACGTTTTTACAATCCCTGAAATTTAGACACCTTGCTAATATGGAACTACTTTCTTGAGTCCCATTGTTGTTTGGATGTTTGTCAGTTCTCCAGTACAGAGGAGCCACACCTTCTCAGACGTGCCAGTCAGTGGTTGAGGAATCTGTACGATGACCATCCCGAACGTCAGTTCCTGGTCAGTTCACCTGCTAACACACTCTCACAATTTTTTTACAACTATACAGTTTGGATACATTTGCCTGTTGTGGTGTTATAAGATGAAGGTTTCTTGAGTCACATCTGTTGTCCCCCGGTGCTGGATTGTTTGTTTTGTATTAAAACGGAAAAAAGAGCTCTGCATACTAGAGTGATTTCCAAAAATATATTTTTGCAAATTTGATTTGACCTGCTTGCTCTCTTGTGTGCAGGCAACAGTTCTGGACAGCACAGGGCATCGTGTGATTGTCTCCCGCTACATCCATCCTCAGTCCCCTCCCGTTGAGATATGTCCCGCGGGAGACACCAATCAGCAACAAGCAATGGTAGGTAAATGAACTGTTCAACACAGGGGTGTTGAGATCAATTCTTACTGATGTTGAGGTTCTTTGAAATGTTGTATGCCACTGATAATAGTAACCTTGTTTCCTGCTCAGGAGCTGTTGGCTCACTATGTGTCCCTGATTCCGTTCCTACCTGATGCCATCACGTTTTCTGGAGAGTGTGACATCTGGACCACCTCCGATGTATGTACATATGTAGCTACCATTCACATCCAATGCAGGACTGGCACCAGAGCACACCAGGATTGGGACATAGTCCCTCTATCTCTTCATTTGTCCACCTGAATAATACTTCTCAGGGACACTTTGACCCCCAAATAGTATGCATGCTGTTATTGGGACCATCTGAATTTGTTGCTAGGGGGCTGATTGTCCCCCAGCAATAATCTCTGGAGCTAGCTCTTCATTCATTCATGTGTATAGCTATGGTATTGTGTGTCCTCTGTGATGTCTGATGTCTGCAGCAATTCCTGCACATGCTGGCAGGGGATGAAGAGGAGCACGCTGTCCTCCTGACCAACTATTTCCTCCACTGTGGCTGGCAGGCCTGGCTGGTGCTCGGCCACGGCATTCCTGAGGGTGACTCAAACACTCTACCTGCTATTTCTTCTCATCTAAACCACGACTCAGCTAGTTGGGGGCCTTAAGACACACACATGTGCATTGTTGCATCACTCACACAATCTAATGATTACGCACCCACATTACATCCAATCCCTGTGAGTTAGTAGCTAATTACTAAATAGCTCACACACACGAAGAGAATTAGGAAGAGAATTAGGAAGAGAGGGAGATGAATGTAAGAAGTTACAAAGCTGAATCATTAACGTACAGACACATTTTGAATGTTGTAATCGTTGCCAGGAACACGAAAGAACAAAGGATCTATTCTCCTTTTTGCAGGCCCAACGGCGTATGTGTTGACGCCATCTCCTGACAACAGAGCGGGCTACTGGCTGTGGAATGCCTCAACTGGAACACACACGACTCAGTTTGACCCTCACTGCCCCCTGACCTCTGTTGGGTGTGTCATCAACAGTCAGAATGTGAGCCTCTCAGTGTAGAGTGTCTGTTACACTCAGGCCAGTGGAACAAAGTTGGGACATTTCGCTCTGCTGGAGTTCACCTATAATTATAGACATCCTAGAACAGCATGGCAAGCACTGAAGTATTGGTGCAACGTTGTCAAGACACCCTTTAACCTTTAAACCACTCATGTTAATATTAACCATCGTTGTCGATGTTGGCGCGCATATTTAACCTTTCAGTTTATGGTCTGATTGTGCGTGTGTGTGTGTAGGTGTGGGCTAATGTCCAGGAGCACAGCAGTCCAGGCAGAATCAGTTTCAACCTCTCCAATCACAAACACTGGTCTCCTCTCTTCAACACCACCATGGAGCCTCTTGACACAGTTCAGGTCTAGCTGCATCTTTCTCAGTACATCCACCCTAGTACATTCCTTCTCACTGCTTTACCTATTCCTTTCCCTTTCTCAGTATATCTGAGAGAGCCTCTAGACACAGTTCAGGTCTGCAGGTCAATTCCCTTTCTCAGTATAGTACATTCCCTCTCACTTCTTTTACCTATTCCTTTAGTATCTCCACCCTAGTATATACATTCCCCTCATAGCTTTACAGCTTTTACTTGTTCACTGCTGCCCTCACTGCTTTTACTTCTCTTCTTCCTCACTCTGAAGCTAACTAACTTAACTCATGGACAATTTATTCCTGTTAGTAAGTAGCAAAAGATACAATCTGTGAGCAACACGAGCCACTAGTAAACATTGTGCCTAGTATATGCCCAGAAGAGAGTGAAATTAATGTTACTCCGATAATGGTAGCTGTTACTAATCTTTCTACGTATTTCGCCATTATTACAGCAGGGACAGTTGGTGTATGATGTCACAGACCAGGTCAGGGTCCACGACCTCCAAGAAGCCATAGAGAGGGAGATTAGGGACCACGTGATGTCACTGAGGTCAAGGTTCATCACCCGATGGAACAACAACTGTGGCAGGATTCTACACGAGATGCTCACCAGGTAACATCCAACTCTCACATGTGCAATGTACCAATGTAATTGGATATAATATTGATCAGGTACGAGGAGCAATTGTCTGATCCTCAGACATTCCGGGACACTTCCGAACTTGAAGAAATCACCACCAGCTACTCGGTAAGGATGTTCCCCAATCCCCTGTGTGAATTATGCTGCTTACTCTCTTTTGTGTAGTACAACATTGCCATGTTTACAGTAGGGGTCAAAAAAACGTTTCCACTTTCGTTCCGTTCCGTTTCGTTGAGCTTCCGTTCCCTTCTGAATCGCCGTTCATTTACCGTTGGAATTCGTTCCGTTCCGTTTACAATCGTTGCCGTACATGCGTTCGCGCGAGGGCCGTAATTCGCGAGATGCGAAGGCCTCACTGTGAAGATATTTCTTCTAGCACCTACGTGGGTGAACTGCTTTCTCGTTGTTTCGCGTTTGCGCTACAAAAAAACCTTGTTTCGCTCCCGCGCTTAGCGAGTCTCTACCGCGTTTGCGGAGGGCGTGGCACGCGGAATTCACAACTGAACGGAAACGGAACACAAACGGAGCGGAACGATAGTGAACGGCAAACGGAACGAAACTGGAAACGTTTTTTTTACTCCTACTGTACCTTACAGTGTATTGTATGTTGTGTACATAAGCCTAGCCTATACTTTCAATTTCTTTCCCCACCCATTATTAAACCAACATGCACAGCTCTCTGGATTCCCCCTACATTTCTCCTATGCCAACATACTCCACATTGTGGGTGCTATGGAGCGGACCCGACTTCACCTCACAGAGAACAGAAGGACCGAGTTTGGTCTCTCTGTATACGTCCACCCTTACCCCAATGACGTCGTGTCGGTGTGGGTATTTTTAGTGACAATGATACCAAAATAGAACTATAGACTCTTTGAGAGAGGCGGCCACACTCTTGTCACTTATACGTGTACACCCACACTTTTCAGTGTTAGTGTGATACAACAAGGCCACATTTTGGTGAGGTTTGAGATGATATAATTATGAATGGCGCGGTGAGCAGTGTAGCCTCACTTTACTGCGTTTCCAATTCTACATCTGTATCTGAGCAGCAGCAGAATTCCTATTGGAAAACAAACGTAAAGCACTTGCCATCAATGTCTGGACTTCGTGTATAATGCCCTTATCCCATTATCCCATTATCCAATGTACGTATATTATACTTGGTAAATAAGAAGTGTAACTCGCATGACTAAAGAAAACTTTCACTGAATGTCTGTGTAAACGTTGCTGTTTTTATAACCCAGCTAAACTGGTCATAGGTGGTTTTGAAATAGGTCCTACCGGAGGTTCTTCATTCCGCCCTTGCTAACTAGACTTCAAAAACTGAAAATTAGCATGATGTCCTCCAGCCAGTATTATAACTTTGCAGTTTTTGTTGTTGTACATTGTGCACACAGAGAGTTAAATTTGATAGTGTGTCTATCGTAGCAGCAACAACCACTAAACTTCACGTGTTGAAAATATATAGTAAACTCCTTGTGAAATGTGTATGCTGAATAGGCATGGAAAAGGCACAAACATGCTGTACTAACTAACTAACCCTGTGGTAGCATGGCAACATTATATTTGGCGAGCGAAGCTAGCCTACCTACTGTGGGAATTTCCTATATGATGTATATTTGACAGGCCCTATATACTGTAATGTCCTATGTGATGCACACAAAATTGAACACGATTCCAAATACGTGGCATAAATTTTTAACTGCTTGCGAGCACTCGCTAAAAATGTGTATACTAAGTATTTGACGGGATCTGCACATTACCGTAATGTCCTATGTGATGCACTCAAAATAGAACACGATTCCAAATACGTGCAAAAAAGAGTTTAACTGCTTGCAAGCACTCGCTAAAAATGTGTGGCATTATTAATACTCTTACCAGTAGATCTATATCACGGAAGACGCTGTAGTTGTGGATGAGTTTCCTAAAGTCAGCCAGAGTCAGTGATGAACTGGACTGCCACCACTTGTCCAGTAGTTCCATACACTCATTCCTGGCACCTGGCGCTTCACATTGTAGTATGCCTCCACACGTATTGTGAGCACACCAACCTGGTCAGAACAAGAAGATACAGGCAGTTCTAAAAACTAATACTCTGTGATGACAGCCTCACAATCCAAACGTATGTGGGTGCAAGAACATACCTCCGTGTGGAATATGTGACTGGCTGAAGACACTACTGCCAGGGGAGAGAGATGAGTATGTGTCAAGACCATTACCCACTGAGGCTACCAAAGTGCTGTTGATGCTAGCCGAGCTGTAAGAGAGACGTTGCTGCTTTGAGAACGGAGACCTGCGTATTTTCAGGATGACCGACAGCTCGTACGCATAGTTGAAGTGAGCCTGAGAGTAATCGTGCAGAAATTCGTACAGTTTTTCGTCTCTGACAGTGTCACTGTCATCGCTGCATAGTCTGTGAAGTAGCTCCCTGCCCAAGTGTGCGTAGGGCTCAAAGTACAGTAAGTTCGTCACGTTGCAAAACGTGTCTCCCTTTGTGTCGATCACCCATTCTTTTGTGTCCACTACACTCGCTGCCACGGTTGACACCTCGTACAGCGTGATGGAGTCAAGGCAGCGGGTGGCAAAGGGGTAGGGCTGGTTGGCGAGGTCCTTTGGGTCTATGAGGTATTGCCCTACTCTAAGGTTGGGACAAAATTTCAGCCTCACTTCAAGGATGATGTGAACTAGCTCCGATCTGAGGGCGACGCAATCCAACTCGGACCCAGCCTTTCCCCGCATTAGGACCACGACAGCCCGGTCCTGCTCCAACATTTCCACCACGGTCTCGATGCCGTCCCGGTCCAGCCAACGGATCCCGTTCTTCCACATGGTGCACTGTCTCGTACCGAGCCCACCGCACGGAGTTACAGCCGTTGCGAACCCGAAGGATATTCGTAGCAGGAGAATGTGGAGGAGTCGCGGCGTGAAGAATTGGTTTGCGTGGGAGACTTTCATACACCAACCAGTGTGGTAGAGAAATGATTCGTCTGCTGTCCACACTCGACCGTCGCTGGGTCTCTCGTGGCTCATCAGTCCTGGAAAGAAGAAGTACCGAGTGTCTTTCTGCGACACGACATGATTGCAGCTCTGTGCCCTTCTACCGGTAACGACAAATGATGCTTTGTGGGTGTGGTTATCAAACTTTGGATCACTTCGACTCTTTCCTCTCTGGTGGACGATGGGTATCTGCAGCAATGATTCTGCCGAAGGTGTACTAGATTTTCTCGCAGTTCGATCATCTCTCTCTTCATGTAGTACTTCCATGGGTTGGGAACAAGAGGCTTGCAGGTTTGGGATTGAGTTTGTCACCGCACCAGTGAGGGCACCGGGTAGCGATGGAGACCCACCTTCCTGATTCTCTAAATGTGGGGACCTGGCAAAGGAGAGTTCTTCGTCCTCTTCCACGTGGATGTGGGGCCTGGATCTCTGACTCGCTGCTCTGTGATATCGTCCGGGCGTCGTGGATGCACGAGACGGTACCACCACTTCATCTCGAGGAAAGTGGAGAATCGAGCAGGAGAGCCCCTTTGTCAGAGTGGTCGTTCCCTGCCGAATCAGCGAGAGGATTTCGGGGTCAGAGACTTCTTCGCAGAACTCCAACTTTCTGAGAAAGGCCACGACTAGCTCCGGCTCGAGGTTCAGCTCGTGTATCGTGCCCTGGAGGCGTGACCACGACACAACACCGGTGCCGGAATCGGAACTGATTTTGTGCTCCTTGAAGTTGTGCGGGGCAAAGATGCAGCCGTTGATCTTGGTGAAGAGGGTGTCGACCTCCAGGACAATCCAGCTCTGGTCGATGTGGGTTCTGTTTCGGAGGAAAAGGATGTTTTGTCGCTCGCTGAGCGCCTCTACAAGCTGGCAGAGCCTCTCTGGGGTGCATGGGAGGGCAAAGTCTGATTCCCTTATCTCGGTGACAACTCTCCCCACACTACACGTGACTTGCCCTGTAAACTTATCGGCCAGAAACACGCTCAAAAGATGGCAGCATCCGTCGACTTCAGAGTTCTTTCGCAGCTCCTTGCAGCTCTCGCGGAGTTTGCTTCGCAGCTTCACGTGTTTGTGTGGCTTTCGGCAGTCGACGGGAAAGAAACCAAGCATGCAGAGCAGAGGATACTCGAATACGGCGCTCTTCACGGCGTTTTCGACAGCAAGCAGCTTTTTCCTGTACACTAGTGGGCACTCTTTCCGCAGCTTGTCCTTGTGGCTACCTATCACGGCAATGTGTGCTACACTCGCTCCCGGGACGTGGTGGTTATTGATGAACGAGAGCCAGAAATTGATCTGAAATTTGATCTCCTCATCGTTTTCGAGGAGATTTACGACGAGGACAAAGAGAGGGGCCGAGGTTTTCGATGCCTCCAGGAGCGCCGCGTGGCTTGCGTAGTACTCGTTTTGTCCGGCAAAGTCAAACAGCAAAACCCTCCCGAGTTTGGGGCTTTCAAACTGGACAGGAACAATGCCAGCTGTTGAAGGGGATACTCCTGTAATCTTTTTTCGCTTGAAGAGGCGCCCCTGCACCCTTCCCTTGACTTCTTGTAGAGCTTCGACTAGCGTGCTCTTACCGGCCATTGGATGACCGACAATAAACATCCTAACAAGGGCCTCGTCTGAAGTCTCCTTCCCGTGATTATACAATACCGATGAGGCGAAGTTGGCTGTGTTGGCCCCGTGACGTATGAGCTCAGTGATGATGTCCTTGTCGCGGGTGCATTGGAGTGGCGACAACCTTTCATCGTTGTGGCAATTCGGGTTGGCTTTTCCAAGCTCTAGGAGCAGCTTTGCAGCTTCCCGCTTGCCGTAGCGACAGGCGACTGATAGTGGAGTCAAACCACTCTTGTTCACCGTGTCCACCTTGCACCCTCTCTCGATTAGGAACTTCACAACATCGGCGTGGTTGTTCTGGGAGCTCAGGTGGAGAGGTGTATCGCCAGTTTCATCCTGGACCTCCAGGGAACACCCCAGCTCTTCGCCCAGGTACTTGACTACCTCCAGGTTTCCTGTACTGCACGCGACGTGAACTGGCGTCTCGCCGTACTTCCGCAGCGCGTTCGGATCCAGCCCGCACTCCGAGACGAGGTAGCGGACAATGTCCGCTTTGTCGTTTTTCGAGAGGGCGATGTGCAGAAGCGAACCTTCCGCCGAACACGAAACCGGTACTTGGGGCTCACAGTGCAACTCCTCCACGAGAAACTTTAGTATTGGAAGGTGGCCGTAGAAACAGGCGGCCATGAGCGGCGTGGACCCGTCTTTCCGCGGCGCGTCAGTTTCCACTGCGCGGAGCGTGGAGAGGTAGCGAGCCACGTCCAGGTGCCCTCGGGCGCAGGCCGTGTGGAAGAGCGTCGCCCCGCCGTGCTCTGTCATGAATCCCGGGTTGCAGCTAAACTTTTCAACTAGGAACTTCACGAGCGGTAGTTTCCCGCGAACTACGGCCCAGTACAGCGGCGGCTTTCCCTTCAGTAGATCCGCGTCTTTCGGGTCCACAACTCCACTCGAGAGAATCTTGTCCACTTTCTCAACGTCTCCCTCATCACATGCCTTCTGGAGATCCCGACACACCGCAGCGGGTACAGCTCCGCGCGGTGACGCAGGCGACGGCGCTGTGAGCGCCGGCTGAGACGTTTGAGCAGGAGCTTTCTCACGATTCGAGCAGTTCTTACGAAGGTTGTTGTGGTCGGCACAGTTTTCTACGGCAGGATAAGAAGAAGGGGTTGCAGAAGTACATCTCGTTGGAGCGGAGTTTCGTAGGCCGCACGTTTGGAGGTGATGGTTCGCGTGACTAACAGCCATCGCTTTGCGGCTACCAGTCACTTGCTAAGGCCGTTTGTGCTTCCTGGATACGCAACGTTCTCGCGCGCGCTGCGCATCATTATGCACAATAAAACAACACAAATTGTTATGTGAAAACAAGCAGAAAACTAAAGTTACTTTTACAAGTGAAAAGTTCAATATCTACCATATTTGGTAATGTTTGCAGGTCACTGCAATCAGTAACAACAAAAGCGACATGATGATAAACAGGAAAATGAATGTGAATCTTCCTGCAACAAGAAAACCAATGTTACAATCACAAAGTTACTAACAATCGCATGCACTGATAGCGATAAAAATGTGCAAAAAATACCTGATTTATGCTTAACTAGAGTAGCACTGCATGTCCGGTCTGCTGAAACGCTTATCAGCACCAGTTTTTCCTGTTTTGAAACCTGTTTCCCACTGGACGGCACTCGTTTCTTTGCCGGCAGTGGAAGAAACAGCAGTCCGGTCACAAACACAGTGTGAACTGCTGCCACTTTGGATATAAGCTAAATCAAGAATATTGCAGGAATCCAAAACATGATCGTGCACTTAAGAGACAGTATTGTAAGAACTCCTAAGATCTGGATAAAGTGTACAGTAGCTAATATACCTTCAGATCAGAGGAGTAGACGAGAATAGATCCACTGATTGTTCCAACCCCGAGATACCTCCCACCAGTACTGAACAATAATATATAGGACGGAGAGAGTTTAATGAAGAGGGGATTGATGCAACAGGGTATAATCATGAGCAGGTGGATGGGGTGTTGAGAGGGTAACAAGGAAGAGAGAAGGTGAGGGGAGGGATGGAGAGAGGGTAACAAGAGGGGGAGGGGGTGGAGAGGGCTACAGGGTTAAAGGTGAGGGAAGGAAGAGAGGGGAGAGGGATGGAAAGGGTGAGGACACAGAGAGAGGACAACAGAAGATGAGTGGAATGAGACGGGGTAGAGGGTCACAGGGAGGTATAAAGAGTGTAGGGAGGTGTAGGTGAGGTTTTGGTTTATCAAGTAAAGAACCCTCACTCGATGGCCAGCGCAGAGAGTAGTTCAGTTCCAGTGCTAATCTCATCGTCCACAATCCAAGCCCCAGCATCCCACTTGACCAGATAGCACCTCTGTACACCAAACCACCACCACACACCATGGGGTGGGGAGATTACATTTAGGGCTTACAATACAGTGGAACCTCCGACAAGGGACCCTCCGAGATAGGGAGGACCTCTCTACAAAGGACACTTGTTTCAATGTCATGCTAAGTGCATTATTTGACCTCAGAGATAGGGACCAATTCTCTAAGGACAAAATCGTTGGCCCCATAGTGTCCCTTTGTTGGGAGGTTCCACTATAATAGACAATTTTTAACGGTCTTTTGTACGTGAGTGCTGTATATTGTGCATTTTTCATTTTGGGTAATTCCAACCACACTACGAATGCAACTCATTTGGGAGCGAAAGTGAGTGTGTGTTGGTTTACGTGTACGAGAATTTAGAATTTACTACGGCATGGAAACTGCCATCTTCACTTTTGAAATTCGGATGACTAGGTCGGCTTGCTTCAGTAACTATTTCTATTGTAATGCCATATAGGAGCTTGTAGGTGTTTTGAAGAGATTGTTTCGTAGAAGGTAAATTCCTCTCACTCACTTTCATTTTCGAGCGTGTGTCCATGGGGATGGTCAGCGTATAGAGAGATGTTTGAAATTCTTCCGATTCCTTCTTCTTTGGAGGGAAACTTCAGGAAGCAGAGGATAATATGCAACGAGAGCCTCACCAAAATCATTATTATTATAACTAAGGACAGAGTCTAGCATAATATACCAGCAGGCCCTGAATCTGTATGTTGGTTTAGCCTCAGACGGCCTGGTGTGGAGTTGGCCGGGAGTCCAGGTGAACCAATGTTCCTGGTCCTCATTGACTAGGTCCCACACCACGCCCTTCCCTCCTCTACACATCGACACCACCTGAGCCGACAGAGAAAATCAACCTGCCAGCTACTGTGTAGGTGTAGTTTCAGGGTATAAAAGAAGTAACTCTTAGCTGTTTACAGCAAATGTAAGCCCTTATGGTTTATATGTATGTCAGTAAGCAGTCAGTAGAGCGCGCGCACGAGCGGCCTCAGTCGGACTGTTTAAGCTTTGGCTGGCAGGCGCGAGGCAAAATACGCACGTGCGCATTCCTAGTATGTATGTATGTAAGCCCTTATGTATGTTAATTGTAGCCCTTCTGAAGTCCTGTTTTCTTCTCTTTTCTTGTATATGTATGTATATAGCGTGAGCCGTTCAGTTTTCATGACCTTAGATTGATGTTTGTACAACAACATGATGTGTGTACAGCAGACGGTTGCGTGTACGGCAACGATAATTCCCCATGGCTTAGACTGATGTGTGTGCAGAAAATTAACATTAATACGTAAGAGACAAGCAAACCAATGGAGAGCTACATATATTATACCCACTTGCAAAACTTTGTACGTGTGGATGTTTTGGACTGCAGTAGTAACAACGAGTGAAAAATGTGTGTTTCTCTGAAAGATTTGTGAAAGTTTACTACTTTGAAAGTGTTTCCCATCGTGTTGTATATAACACTCCTGGAGGAGGAGTTACTACTATATTATACAGATTGAGAAGTCTGTCTGTGTTCTGGTCGTCACGACAACCTCACGGGACACTACCTTTAACACTCCTGGAGGAGGAGTTACTACTATGATACCATCATGAGATCTGAACACACACATAATACTGTATACAATATCATGTACTACTATATACCTGCTCTTTTGAAGGATGGCAGGAGAGAGTTTCAATTTCATTTTCGTGACCTTTCAACTCACACACTTTATCCAGAGAAGGGTACTGCAAAAGAGAAATTGCGCAGAGTTCTATTTGTAAACTAAACAGATCACCCTCTCACATGAAGGAAGAGAGAGAGAGAGTTGCGATGCGATGTAAAAATCACACACTGACCTTCCAGACTCTGACAATACCGTCGCTCCCACCTGTCACCACTCTATCTCCGTGGCAACTGAAGGCCACCGTCTTCTGGTAGCACTCGCTGGAGAAGTCCGTCTGTGTTCTGGTCGTCATGACTACCTCACGGGACACTACTACCTTTGACACTCCACTGTCCTGGGATGGAATATCCTTATAAGCATTAAAGGGAATGTATGGACTAAATTTTTATTACTATTTACATACGTATTATACAATATTACATACCTCTTCGTCACTCTTTGACTTTTTCCTTCGTTTTACTTTTGACTCTTTCTTGTGCGAGTCCCTGTTCTGTGTCATCTCTAGTGAGAGACA